TTGCGTCAATAAAAATATTATCTTTTGTAAGTTTAAAAAGTCTAAAAATTTAAACTCGAAAAAGTCAAATTTTGGCTGAAAATTGTCCTTTGTAAAACAAATTTTAAAGACATAATGTGTGCTCAAGCTTATATATTTTTAAATCCAAAGACAATCTAAGACTGACAGTACTATTTTGAGGCTGCTATTCCAATTCTCATAAAAGTGATTGAAAAATTAAAAAAACTTTTTACTTTGCTCAGACAATAATAAACAAGTTCATGTGATTACTAAATTGAAACTTGTAGTTAAAGTTATGTTACTGGTATTTGGAGAAATATCACATGGATACATGACCTAATTTGCATAGTTATTAACCTGTGATACAAGATCTTATCGTTTTTATGAACCCGTGTTATGATTCTCAGAACTGAACTGTGTGATAAATAAGTATAAGAATACTTTGAACATACATGTGAAAAATTCCAAAATCTTTGTCATTGTATATAAAGTGCACTACCATTTTTCAGGTTAAAACTGTGCACTATACATGCAAATAATATATATTTCAGAAAATCAATGACTCAGATATTCTCTGATTGACATCTATATGGACTGTGAAATCATATGCACAAATGAACTACTGGTATATCAAGGAATACTTTATAAAACATACCAAGGGAAATGTTCTAAAGGTCGGAGAGTTTCTGGCCGTGAAGGTGATATGAAATGAACTCCATTGGCAGTATTCCGTACATCAATATACGATGTCTTTCGGGTCTGAAAAAAATGCTTTTAGATTACAAGATGCACAAGATAGAGGTTAGTAGAAGCAAGGTTTAAAAAAAATCCTCATCAATTGCTACTTTTTTTTGAAAATCTTTGCCAAAAGAACTTTTTTCAAAATAGTGTCAAAATTTGAAATAAATTTTGAAAATCTGCAATTTCTTTAAAAATAAAGAAGACTGCATCAATCAATAAAGAATTAAATAAAGTTTCAATATTATACAAAGTTTATATAAATGTTCACTTTTACTTCATTAAAAAAATTGATGAGAATTTTAGGTTAGTGCATAAGCAATGGGCGGATACTAAATCACAAAACATATGTATATGCAGAGCAGGGTAATTTCCTACCACGGGTAATGCTCCAAATCAGATGCTTTGGTTGAAGTTTTACCAGACAAAATAAAATGACCATTTGCTCCATCAAATTGTGTATCTTCATACTGTAAAATTGTCATACTTATTACATATGTAGTGCTGGGTGATATCGGTTAAGTTCATATCACGATATTTAGCAGTAATATATTACGATATGGATATAAATCCTGATGTTACTTAAGTATGTTTTTTTCTGCTTTTTTTCAATCTAAAAATGTTCAATTCAATCCAGTCTTTAAAATGGTGAAATAACATCATGTTTCAAATATCAAGTTACTTGTAAAAATTGTTTAGATGAACTTATCCGGACAAAAACTTGACAGTGTATCATGATAACTATCATATATCACGATAATGGTGATATTTGGGTATTATCTAATCAGGCGATATTACTAACAATATAAATTCATATACCGGTATTTATAATGATACCAGTATATCCCCCAGCCCTATCTAATTGCTTTTGTCTTAAAATATTTCATGTTGAGAAATAAATTTTCTGGAAAGGAAGAACTTATTATCTGATTACTCCTCTAAATTTTACTTGAAAGATCATGTGCGAAAGCTTTTTTTGGCACAATAAAGTTTTTTAAAGGGACAGATCAGCCAATTTTTTTAAAAAGCATAACTTAGTCTCAGAAATGGGAATTTTTCAGCTAAGCTAATCAGTAAAATTGTTCACAACTTTCCATCGAAATTTGAGCTTTCAAATCCATGTGTGTACAGAATTATTTGCGTTTGAAAGTTAAAAAGTCATTTTTTTAACTTTCTCAATCATATATAGAAAACAAATGTATAAAAATAGTAAGTGAATCTCCTAGATTGAGGTATTTTGAAAGGAATTATGCGATTTTCGTATATACCAGAATCTAGTACTTCTGAAGACTATTTACATTTATTCAACACCAAAATCAACCCCCGAAATTGGCCGACCTTTAATATTTCCCAAGCCTGAATTTTTCAGATTTTTCTATTTATCATACAACTATCAATATTTCCTTAAGGCCACATGAGTAACGGAAAATGAATTTGGAGTAAAAATAAATTTTTTGTTTACTGTAATCAGACAATAAGCTCAATACTTTAAAAGAAATTTTTTTTCTGAATAAACAAACGATATTAATTCTTCAAATAATTGAGCATGCTCCTTTAAAAAAATTCACATAATTACAATTTCCAATTATAAATACTTTATCATTGAGTTCTAGCCATTTCTAACAGAAATTCAAATGCGGTTATCATCCACCATTTTTATGTAAAGTTTAATTCCTTGATCTAACTGACATCATGATGTCAAACATTATTTTATAAAACAATTGCAAACTTTAAAGGAATACTACCTCTTAGAATGGATATAAAATTTAAAGTCTCAAATTGGTCAATAAGAGCATATATTCATCAGTTGGACTTACCAGGTGCAATGACCAAAGAATAGAATCTCTATTTAATTATTGAAACACCCTTCTAAGCAGGTTTCAAAATCAATTAGTCCAATGAATTATTACTTAGTTTTATGGATTTATAGAGGAAATCCACTGATAAACAAAGACTCATTTTGGCAGTTTAAAAATTTCAATTTTTTTTACATTCTAAGAGGTAGTAGATCTTTAATAAACATAGTATGAGGTGCATTGATATGATTAAATATATAGGTGTAGCAAAAAGTATAGATATTCAATAAACATACCACAACTTTGGTTAACGTCACATGATCAGCTGGGAAGTAACCTTCATCACCACGGAAACGACCCTAACAAAATACAATTCTTTTGAATTTAATATAAGTAAAACTTAATTTGATATAATAATCATTCATTTGAAAGTTGTGTTTGTTGATATTTTACAGATTAGAATATAGTTCTATACAACAGTAGTAATGGCTAAATATAAATTTTTTACCCTAAATATAGTTTGCCAGGCAAGGTAATATACGCCCATTGGCAGCTTTGATTTTCAATAAAAATATTTGGCAGTACAGTAACAATCACCAGTATGAAATATTCAACCTTCATTCATACACATCTTTTGAACTATTTGGGGTGATACTGAATAAATGAGTATGAGTTATTGCCCTTGTTCTTGAAAACGTGTTCCTTGGGTGATAACAAACACTCATGCCAAGTTTTGTCAAAATCCGTCAAGAATTGCGCCTTCTATAGTGTTTACGAGCTAAAAATTGAATGCGTTTTCAAGAACAAGGGCAATAACTCATACTAAATATTGTTCGATTCTTCTGATTTTCAATAGGGTTCATCCTTGGGTGATAACAAACATTTTTTAATAGCAATATTTAAGTAAAAAGTGTCAAGAACAGCAGTTTAAAAATAAAGAGAGCTATAGCAGCTTTATTATAAAGGGACAAAGACTCAAAAATGTAGATTTAGAAATGTGAATGGACAGACACTATGAACAGACACGATGGACAGACACAGCAGACAGATAATTAAAGGGATTGTATAGAGGTTTTTTAAGTGTTTCTAGGACATTAATAGCATCAATTTGCAACATTCCAATCAGACGTCTGATTAAAAATTGGAATGGTGCAAATTGATGCAATAGTGTCCCTGATACACATAAATTTTGAAAGAAAACCGCTCTACATATTATACAAGTGATATAAAACAATTTAGATTATAGTGTTTCAATCACTCAAATTACAGTTTTATTTGCGAAGCAGATTATGTTTTGCAATAAATTATAAATTATTTTGGATACAATTTCGAATAAAAATACACATGGTCTGCTAATCCTCACCAGAAATTTAGATCAGAGTTCTGTGGAAATTTCGTGCAATGTCTTTAGAAGAATGACATCACCACACCAGATAGCAGGAAAACAATGGTGTCATAGCCTACCTTCCAGAATTTTGAATCGTTTCTGTCTAAAACCTCTATATTGTCACCAATATTAAATCTTAAAGCATGGTGACCATTTGGAGCAGGATTGGTACCCGAATATGGCTTGTTGGCACGTGCTTTCTGTATTGATATTGTTGTCTCTACAAAGTCACACATTTGCATTGAATTTATCATAATTGTTTATAACTGCATTAAGGTTATTCTTCATGCACATTTTACAATACACCACTTCCAGTTTGTCAAAAATGTGCCAATCTATATTCACCTTATATTACCCACAGGTGAATTTTTATTTAACTGCATCTGCAAATTTTGCTCAATATGCTGTACAAAAATCGTAAAAAAAAAATGTGAAAACAAACTAGGGAGGGTTTGAATTTCCCTCTTTCTGAATATAGGAACATGGAAATTGACAAATTTGTTCACAAAGGTATATGGATACTACTTACCTTCAGGTCTTTTGGGACGTGGTGGTGCTGGAAAATATTATAAAGTAATATATTCGGAGGGGCAAGTAATATATTTGGAGGGACGAGTGATATATTTGGAGGAGCAAGTAATATATTTAAAGGGACAAGTAATATATTCGGAGGGGCAAGTAATATATTTGGAGGAGCAAGTAATATATTTTCGGTGGGGCAAGTAATATATTTGGAGGAGCAAGTAATATATTCGGAGGAGCAAGTAATATATTTGGAGGGGCAAGTAATATATTCGGAGGGGCAACTAATATATTCAGAGGGGCAAGTAATATATTCGGAGGGGCAAGTAATATATTCTGAAGGACAAGTAATATATTTCAAGGGGCACTTGATATTCACATTTTATTCATATACCAACTTAACAAATTCTTTTTGAAAATTGGTTAAAAACTACAGGAGTATTATCTTTTTATCAAGTCACATGGGGTTTATTCAAGTTTAAAATCATAGTATTAACTGCCAACTCACTTTGGAATCATCATTTTTAGAATATAATATCATCACCTCAAGTTGCATGAAAACTGGTTGAAAAAAATAAACACTTACCGCTTGATTTTTCTTCTTTGTTTATGCACTCTTTATGCACAGCCATACTTGTAGCTGTAAATAATTGAGGAATTCATTAAATTAGATCTGCTATTTCAAAACCATAAGGCCATAATGCAGAAAATTTCATGGGATCTAAAACCATTTGCAAATATATGACATTATGAAAATCACTTAATTCACAGAGAGGAAGAACAGAGTAACAAACAGCAAAACTGAAAAATGAAAATTGTTTGTTTCACAGAGAGGAAGAACAGAGTTTCGAACAGCAAACCGGAATCATGAAAATTGTTTATTTCACAGAGAGGAAGAACAGAGTTTCAAACAGAAAAACTCAATTTACCAGGTGTGCAGTCTAATTAGAATTACAACAACCTTTTGTTCCGTTTTCTTATTAGCATTTAAAGACCGACCTCGTTAACCTTTTGACCTATTCTGATGACATCTGTTTTAACCAATCAAATTCCTTCACTCTCTCACAAAATGCCAGCGCTGGAGATGGCATAAAATTGACTAGTTAACCAGGGTTAGGTTAAAAGGTTATATTGACTAACTGAAGTGGTTATAAAATGGAACGAAAGTTTGGTCTAATCTTAATTAGACTGACCAGGAATGAAGTATAAGATTTGAACAACATATAGAAGCGAGGAGCACATATAACAAAAACACAAGACAATATTATGGAATATAACACACTTCTTTAATAAAGTTGGGCACATAACGTTTCAACACAATATCTGATGACGACACTTGTATATTGTGTTGAAACGTTATGTGCCCAACATTATTACATAATATTGTCTTGTGTTTTTGTTATAGGAACGAAGAAAAAAAATTATGAAAACAAAATGGCAACAAATATAGACAATAAATCAAATTTGTCTGTTTTTTATTAATCAGAATTGAATAATTTAGAAAGATAGTTCTAATTCAAGTAGGCTGCTCTCATGTTGTGAAGATTGTAGTTGTGAATACGACCATAGTAAATATTTCAAATCAAATTTGAGGTTTGAAATGTCAAATGGTCAGTCATCACCACACACAGACACATGTCAAATGGATTGTTCAGTTTCTAAAATATGGTGAAGAAAAAAAATCACAAGAGTAAAAACTCACATTGACAGAGGTAACCTTGAAAGAAAACACCTCTGAAAAAGAAAAAGAAAAAGAAAGAAAAAATATAGTTGTTTGACTTGAAATTTCACAATCTATACAGGGTATTTTATATACACTTCAATACATTAGGCGGAATTCTATTTTTGTTCAGCTCAACATCCTGAATGTTTTAAATTATATAAGTTTTGTCTGAATGTGTATCGTGTAGTACCCTAATTCGACAGATACCTATTTTGACAGATAAATATTTGGAAGCAGCTAACAATTTAATAGATCACTAATCTCATCAGCTTCTGTGTAAATATTGCAAACAAACAGTCAGCTTTCTCATCAGTATAATAATTACCATTCTGATGCATATTTATCTTCTTTATTTTTCAATTTTTTTCCACTAGATGAACAGTTTCTGAATTCTTCTTACTGGGTAAGAAATTTTATTGCTCATATTTACACGTTTTTCTATTTTTAGAACATCTGTCAAAATGGTTGTACAACTTGAAATACAAGGCTCCGCTGGGTAGAGAACATTTTACCCACACAAATTTGATATAATATAAATTTGAACACAATATAGGTTTTTGATTATATTTAATGATTTTATATAAAAATTGACATTAAAAAGTATGTAGCGACAAGAAAACAAAGGTAAATCTTATATCCATCAAAACTAGTAACATCAGGATATGTTTGTTAGTTTCCAGTAGTCCTATGATAACTAACCTGAGTAATTTATGACAGACGTCACATTCTCTTGGTTTATCAAATGTATACATAATATAATCTGGTCCAGCTTGAGGCTGTGTATTATCTCTGAAATAAAAATTTTATCAAAATAACAATTAATCATAATCTCAGCTTTTCTTTCTTAAAAGTAAGTGACCTATCAAACTGGGCACAACTTTCCAAATTTATATTTAGCATCTATAACGCAAAGTGACAACACAGAATCGATAATGGATATTGGTATACAGGCAGATAAAAGAAATGACAGACAAGATTCACAGCAAAATACTACAACAAAATCATGCTTCTAACTTACAGTGCCATGTTAATTGCTTCCACCCATTTCTGTCTGGCGTCTTCTGTTTTTGCAAAGAATGTGTAAGCTGTTCCTCCACCTTTCTTAAACATTATGAATGGCCAATTCCACTGAAATCAGAAGAGTAAAATATATCTAATTTACGTAACATATCTAATTTGGTCAAATCCGTTGGCTTCTGGAGCTTCACCTCGGAGAGACACCTCTCAGTTTTTCCTTTTTCTTTACGCATTTTCTAGATACGCACCTGATAACTCTAGTCTACAGACTGGAATAAGCTGGAATGGCTGTTAAATATAATGATCAAACTGTTTGTTGGAGATTAATTCAGCTTTTGCAATGTCAAGTGACTTACAGGCTGTTGATATATTTTTTTGTCAATCGGACATGAATGTTATATGATATGGATAACCTATACTTGATGTCTGATAGAGGCTATTAACCGTCTGCTCTGTCAGTCAAGTCCTGCAAATAGAGCCAAATCAACAGCCCAGTTGCAATGGCTCAAAACTAAGCAAGGGGTATGAAATTAAAAACACATACATTTCTTGAACCAGTGCTTTTTCCTTCATTATTCAGCTGTGTTTCATCAATTTTAAATTCTGCAAGCACTATAGCATCTTTATAACTGTATGTCTCACTCTGAAAAGAATATATTAGATATGAGCACAACAATCTAAATTGCAAATAGAGTCTAGCTTTGAAAAACCAATAAATGACATCTACTTTTAATAAAAAGCTGTACAAGCAATAAATCAAAATTCTCATCCAAATGAAAGGCAAGGAGTAAAGGTAGTATAAATAGAGTAGTGGACTCATCCAAAGAGAAGTACCATCATAAATTCAATCATCTGTATATTTATAACTTTTCATAATGTCTAATATCAATGATCAATCTAAATTAATCTAATTCTTTAGTATCACAATAAAGGCGGTTACAAGATGTGTCTGATGGTGCTTAGATTCAAATTTGAAGATATTGAATAAAGTTTCAAACAAAATTTTATAAAAATCTGAAAACAAACCACGACCGCGAAGAAAGTGTTTGAAACTTCAAATATTGACAATAATGAAGAAGCTGTTCTTCACACTGATAGTAAATTAATTTTAAGGTCAGAGGCTATAAATTGTGGTGACAGTGCTTGCAGTGCAACAGCAGCTGATGAATTTTGGATGGATTGTTATCTTGGAACTTTAAGCCAGGATTCTCTATTCTCAAATCCAAGGGAAAGGCCAGTTTAATTAAAATTAGACCCAACTTAGACTCATACTAAATATTTTCTGATTTTCAACAGGATTCATTACATGGTATATCTTCTGTTTTAAAACCTGTGAAGTCGGAACAAGACTAATGTGAGAGGTGACAAGGTCAAATCAACAAATCAAATTATCATCCCACTTAAACACCTGTCAATCATCTTTATAAATTGTCAAAATATTGGATTTTGTTTTAATTTTGCCAAAATTAATGATTTGAAATAATGTCTTAAGCTATTCATGTTACACATTTAAAAGAGAATAAAAAGTACATTCTGATTATGAAAACCACATTGATGTGTAATAAATACATATGAAGTTAAAAAAAATATATTCATGCATTATTGTTATATATCATTAAAGATAGCAATGGCCGTTGTAATTCGACCTTAATTATAACGGCAGACAACATCAGGGAGGTTGACAAGAAAGGGTTCGTCCTTAGGTGATAACAAACAATTTCACTAAGTTTCGTCAAAATCCATCAAGAATTGTGCTCTCTAAGAGTGTTAATGACCAATTGTGGAAGGGCGGATAGACTGATGGACAAACCATGGAACAGACCTGGGTGATGCCAAAAGACGCTCCACATTTCATGTGTGCGTTTAAGAAAAAACAATAATCAGTACGAAAACAAAGAGTGACAAATTTATTTCGATTTGTCACACAAAAACTGCTTAATATAAACTTCTCTTAGTGTTGTTGCTTGGTTGTACTGCCCAATAAGGGTACATGTAAAGTTTGGAGGTAATTTCTTAATGTTTTTGTACCTTAAGCAATCCAAAAACATAACTGAGAATAACTTACACTCCCATTTATCTAATCATAGATCTTTATTTGAATTAATTATGTATCTAATAATTTTGTTTTGGGGGACAAGTTTTGAGGAGGTATTTTAATACCAGAAAGACAAATTAACTTATATTAAATGCCTTGTGAAATAAACAATTTAACAAGTTTGATCAAAATTAGTAAAAAAAATTGTACCAATTCATTGAACATATTCTTTCATAATTGATGAGATCAAATTAAGCAATTTTAACTATACATAATCCATTTAATCCATAAAACAAAGTAATAATTCATAATTCATAAACTAAATAATTTTGAACCATGCATAGGATCTTGTTCCAATAATTATTTAGTTAAATGGATATATCGTTTTATACAGAGATTCTATTTTTTAAGTTGGCAAGTCCAACTGATGAATATATACACTTGTTGACCAAGTTTGAGATTTACAATTTTATGTCCATTCTAAGAGGTAGTAACTTTAAAGATGGAAGAAATAACTTGAGCAAAGTATTTTTCAACCTTTTAATTTTAGATGGAGTTGTTCATACTGAGTTCAATAGCTCTCATTAATATTCATCTAAATTTGTCAAGTGGACCAATGGACATGGGTGATAACAATATACATTTAAGTTTAATATTCAATACAGTTTGACATGAAAATTCTAGCTGTTAAAGTGAACATGAGCTTATTGTAAACAGACATATTGGAAAAGCATGAAAGTCATTCAGTCTAATTAAAATTAGACCCAACTTTCATTTTGTTTATTTCTTTTTATTCGTTTTTATTTTTAGTATAGCCACTTCACAGTAGGATCTAACGACCGGGGTCTTGAACATTCGTCAAAATAACCTTTTGACCTAACCTTTTTTAACCAATCAAATTTACGCCTTCTCAACTGTTGGCTTACTGTGATATGATTAATTCAGGAGCAACAGACTAGTTTATCAAGCCCACAGAAAGTGAAAATAGAAAACATGCCTTTCATTGGATGTTCCAAATTGACTCAGTTAAATTTGATTGGTTAAAGCTAACGTCATCAAGTTACGTCAAAAGGTTAATTTGACGAATGTTCAAGACTCAGTTCATAAGACCCTACTGTGAAGTGGCTATACTAAAAATAAAAACGAAAGTCATTCTAGTCACACCAAATTATACTTTAAGGAGCAAATCAGCAATCACATTCATACAGTCAAAAATGTCAATATCTAATTTCAGTTAAGACTAAAAACACTACGGTCATATTTATATTTTCATGCCAAATATTCACTATCATGCTAGGGCAAAATCCAAATTGTAAATAATCCTTTTTTTTTAGCCCACTAAATTGCTTACTTGCATTTTTTTCAAACCTACAAAGCACAAGCAGTGCTCAGTTAACCTGCAACATTTGGCATAGAAATTCTTTTTCTTAACAGTCATTTAAACAACATGATGCTAAAAAAAAAATGATTTCAAAGTACCATTTTCTACCATTGCTGCCCTTGAACAAGCCAAAAAGAATAAGAGTATATAAGATACAGTCTTATTAAAATTAGACCAAACTTTTATTCTGTTTTTATAAGCTTTAATTCTTAATATAGCCACTTTAGTTAGGGTCTAACAAAGCCGTCTTGAACATTTGTCAAATTAACCTTTTGACCTAACTCAATGACATTTTGTGACACAGTTTTTTTTTCAAGTTAGGTCAAAAGGTTAAATCAACGAACATTCAAGAGGGCTGTTGTTAGACCTTAACTGAAGTGGCTATTTAAAAATTAAAGTTAAAGTTTAATTTTAATTAAGACTGATATGATATAAAGAAAAATAATAATAATAATAATAATATATATAGATATAGATAGATGATATACAAGATGCAGTACAAATAGCAGAATGCTACCAAAGAAATGAAGTGGTTAATAGTATTAGTTTTGTAACTTTCTTTACTCCAAAATCTTTAGCCAGCCATTGTCTGGCATTCACATGTAGTTGGCCTGGCAAAATTCCAATGAAGATAACTTTCAGTTCAGGCCAAAAATGTACTACTGGCGTTTTAGATTAACATTAAGAAGTTTTAAGATGAAACAGAGGTTAACATATCTAATGTTTCATTTAGAGAATTCCAAGTCAACCATTTTTATTTAAAGTGTATCAGAGACACTGATAGCATCAATTTGCACCATTCCAATTTTCAATCAGACATCTGTGGTTCGACTAGGAAGGATTGTTTGGTGACAATCACATGGTCACTTAGTTTTAGTGGAATTGCAGAAATCGCGGACATCTGATTGAAAATTTGAATAGTTCACATTGATGCTATCAGTGTCCCTGATACATGTAAGAAATTTAGAAAACCTTTCTACAATCCCTTTAATTTTGTATCATTTCAAGAATGATATACTTCCTCATGTAACAAGTTCATTCGCTGTTTTGCCAATATGTTGTTTTGGATTTTGGGTTTCGTTTTGCAGTTCAGATCATTAATACTTGCTTTATTTTTTCAAAATCAAATACCACTAAAAGTTGAACTGAATTGTGGAGTAAAGAAAGAGAAAGAAGTTAATAAGATCTGAAATGTCTAATATCTTACCCAAAGATTCACGATCTAAATATTGAAGGAAGGCATAAAAAAAAAAAAATATGTCAAAAAAATGATTATATAAATTTATATAACTGCTTACATTGAAGCACTGTCTCGATTAATATAAAGCCAATGTACCATATTATTGTTGTTAGAAGCAGAAATATTTTTATCTTGGAACCTCAGTTTCTCACAAGTTTGGTTTTCCAAAGAGCTATGCCAGCCAGTCTGGAACTATATGTGTGCATGTTCAAGACACTAATTCCACCTCAGGATAAACAACGTCAATTCAACATGGCAGTCTATAGAAAAGGATCTTATACAAAAAGTTAATTACATTTACAATCATCAGTCTCGTGATGTACCATTGAACTGAGAAAACTTGTTTTTGACAACGTTCTAAATGATAAATGGATAACTGTTAATGTAGTAAACCCTTTATATTATATCCTTTTCCATCCCTGGGAACAGACCGCCAAGTTAAATCGATATTGTTTATCATGAGGCGGAAGAAGGGACTTAGTGTGTTGTTCATGAGCACATATAGTTCCGAACTGGCTTATTAAAGGGATTGTAAAGAGGTCTTCAAATCAGACATCTGTGGTTCCTGCAATTCTACTAAAACTAAGTGTTTTCTGACGTCACCCCTGCAGGAACCACAGATGTCTGATTGAAAATTGAAATGGTGAAAATTGATGCTATCGGTGCCCCTGATACACATACAAAATTTTAAAAACCCCTTTTTTTCTTATTTATTCACCTAAAACATTTATAAAATCTCTTTACAATCCCTTAAACACTCTATTTCAAATATATAACAAAATATTTCGACTGTTAAAAAAGTGCTCAAAATCTGTTTGAATATTTACATTTTACATGTACGTATGTATTAAGTCTATGTATGAAATATATCCACCCATTCCTTAAAAGAACAACTAGGCTAGGTAAACATATACCCACCAACAGCAGCTTTGTTAAATCTTTACATAAATAAAAAGCAGCATGAATCACATTGTGTCCAAACTACACCCCTATTCGTCAAAGTTCCTCTTTTCATAGTAATACAAATGAAAGAATTACATATTCATAGCTAAATATTATCCAATCAAAACTGGCCCTAAAATCTTTCTAGGAAATCCAAGCCAATCAAACTAAATCACTCGTTAGACAAACTTAATGTAAACAAACCTAAATCAGCATGTCACTAAATGTTTTGATTACTATGGACAATACAGAATTGAGTAAGATTTTTGAAGCTGAGAGAAAATCAAACCTTACTGTGGCAAATCAATTTTGTGTTTTGTTTGCATGACATAGACCCCAATCTCATTTGCACGCCCACAAAACGAAGTGTAGAGAACTTAGTTTTATACGGGCTAATAAGATACTGTCAAAACCCGTATTCGGGTTAAGATGAACTCAATCTTATTGTTCAAACCTTTTATTACACTTACAAAGATGTGTCTAACTCCAAATCAATTCTTCAAAAATCAGTCAAATTAGAACTTGTTCAAGATCTTATCAATTCCTGTCATATCACTTAACGCTTTTTTGTGCATTTAAACTAAGTCAAGGGCAAAAACTGACAAAACAAACTTTTTAAGTATCAATGATTACATAAAATTTCATAAAAATCAATTGAACCTTTGACTCACTTTAGTCAAGAGCACTCACAAACCTTTCGTGTAAAAAATATCAATTTAAAACTTTGTCTTAGATCGCATATTTAAATGCTCACACCAAATTTCATTTAAATCAGATAAAAATTTCAGTCTCTATTATGTTCACAATTTAAATTTTAATAATTTTAACAATAACTCAAAATTTTCCATGGAAAAATCAAATTTATACATGTCCAAGATCTCATCATTATAAATGATCACACCAAATTTCACTTAAATCGGATGTTTGTGTTCACAAACAAATATTGATACATTTTTCATAAGTCAAGGGAAATAACTGAAAAACCATTCATCGAAAAATAGTCAAAGTTGATCTTTGCCAAAGATCTCATCTCTTTGTCAAAGATCTCATCAATATAAATGATAACACCAAATTTGATTTAAATCAGATGAAAACTGTAGTCTATATTGTGTTCACAAACAAAATTTGACACATATGAACAAAGTCAAGGTCATTATACTCAAAAATAGTTCAGCGAAAAATCATCAAATTCGATTTTTGTCTAAGAACTCATCAATATATAATTACTCCAAATTTCATTTAGATCACAAGTAAAACTATAGCCTCTGTTGTGCTCAAAATTTTTTTTTCTTTTATGTGAATTTTATAAAGTCAACAACTATAAAAAAAACTCATGGAAAAATTGTCCTTTGAAAATCACATGAATATATATGATCACACACAAGTTTTATTTAAAATTAAATGTAAACTAAAGTCACAAGAAATATCAACGGACAAGGGCAATGACAATATTCGTCCACATTTGGTTGTGAGAGAGTTCAGTCTAATCAAAATTAGACCAACCTATGTGTCTAGCCACAACCCTCTTGAACATTTATCAAATTAACCTTGATCAATCAAATCAAATCAATCAAATTTCTACCCTCTGGCACTTTGTGACACTGTTTAGGTCAAGAAGTTAATTTGACGAATGATCAAGAGTCCTTAGACCATAACTGAGGTGGCTATACTAATATTCCAAAAATTTTTATTTTTATTTTTCTTTGTGTTTATAACATCATTTCTCTATTTAAATGGAAATTTGTTGGCTATCTGTCTATCTGTCCCTTGTCCTTCCATTAACATTTCCTCGCAAAAGCAAAATGAATTAAAGTTTTGAAAATTCTGCAATTCGAGTGCTTTCTAAATATTAGTCCCCATAAAAATACCCTATAATCTCACTATTGAAGATAGCTTTTCATGCAAGCTAACATACACCCAATGGTATTTGAAATTAAAAATTTGGCAGAATAGCAACAATAACAACCATCAACCATTCAACCTTTATCTGTCCATTTTTTTCAGTACTTTTTATTTAAAGGCTCTTCCTTCAAAATAGTTAATAATTTCACCATGAATAACATATTTTGAAGAACAAGGACAATAACTCAACACAAATATTTTTTTTAATTTTCATTAGGGTTCATCCTTGGCTGATAATAAACAGTTTTGTCAAAATCAAAAACAGCTTTATATGTTGAACCATTCTAAAATAACAGCCTTTTAAAAATTTGGTATAAAACTTCTGAGATGACAATAGAAACTAAAAACATCAGAAAACGAAAACGATTTTAATTAGATTAGTAAAGCCCCCAGACTAACACCTCATTCTAATCCAAAACCAATATACTACAGAAAATCTATTATGCAAATAAAAGCAAATTAGATCTAACTAAATCCATTTGGATTATAAACTAAACACAGTTTCACCAAGAGGATTAAATGAATACAATCTTGATACAATGAAAAACTTTTCAAAGTAATAGCTCTTTGATAATAAGTCCCACCACCACTCTGTGCTTACATGTTATTTCCATTTTTATGACTTTTACATTACTCACTGATGATTGTTGTTTGATTAAAGTAATGTTCCCTTATTTTCATTTATTTATATATATTCCATTATTGGACGACTAATACTTATATAAATCGAAAGCAGAGGTGTTCTTATGATTGGGATAAATACCAGTTTGTCTCAGAAATCAATAATTAACTCGTAATTAGCTAAGTATGAAGAGATTCCAATGATCGAGCGGTCACTTACTAAAGATTATCAGGTCTCACAATTTCCATAAGAGAGGTAACTCTATGTGTGTCTTTTCACAGCTGAACATTACCAAAGCAGCCAAATACCAATCAAAATTTTTACAAATTTTAGTGATTATGGCTCCAAACTAGGGAAAAAGACAATGTTCTATATTTTCTAAATACACAGTGTATTTAATAACATTATTTCTAACTTACAAATATGTCTTTTACACATGGTTTGGCTAATAATTTTTTATATGAAAATGTGGCTAGATTATCACAATCTATTTTAATGAGTAAACAAGCAATTTATTTTTAGCTTTTTCAGTCGGATTTCAGTAAATATGATCCACAAGCTTTTCAACATCCTCACACTATCTTAGCACTCAAGAATACTTGATTTATTCATTAGAAAAAAGTATAATTTTACTAATTTTTGATTGATACTTTTCTGCAGGTACTTAGACTTTTGAAGAATACAATACAAGTTTAAATGTGAATTTAAGCAATAAGTATTTAGTAAATTTCAAAGGGATAGGTTTGACATTTTGAGGTTTGATTTGGGCCTTAAATATATGTCAATAGTCTTCAGAAGTACTAGAAATGTACAAAACTTGTTTCAAATAGATCTTAAACTAGGAATGTCACCTTCTACTTCTATATATGTATGGTTTTTCTGTACATTACAGAGTCTCAAGAAATGATGAGTCATCTTTTTAACTTTCTAATGCAGATAATTCTGCAGGCTTAAATTTTGATGGTGTGCTGTGAACACTATTACTGATAAGCTTAGGTTATAATTCCAGTTTCTGAGACTAAGGTATATTTGGTCAAAAAATGGCACAGCACTCCCATTAAGCATACTTCAGGGAACCAAAACTTTAAGCAATAAAAAGGAAACTGTTAGAAACTGCTTCAGAACAATGCGAAATCCATGGTCTAGTTTTTATCTTTTTGTATGATTAGACATAGTTTTTCTTTAACAGATTGAAATAAAAATGAATAAAATAAATATGAAATGAATGAAAACAGAATTCTATTTCATGATTAACGAGAATGTTGCTCTAAAAGCAAAAGACTTGGAGATCAAAAGGTGAAAAAAGAAAATTCTTGAACTATTTTGATTACTCACCCTTGCTTTGCACATCAGCATGACTTTATCAAACAGGAAAATGTGTCTGAAGAGGAAAATAATAATGTGAAGTAGGCACTCACACAGCAGTAAATTTCAAGGCAGCATTTACCTTTGAAAATTATAAAATATATCATGGCAACTGGTCTATTGTACTAACAGAAAATAAAATAACTGAAATTCAATCTAAATAAAATTTGGCCAAACTTTCTGGTTTTTTTTTTTAGCTTTTATTTTTAATATGGTCACTTCAGTTAGGGTCTAACAACTGTCCACTTGATTGTTTATCAATCAACCTTTTGACCTAACTACTAATCTCCAGCACTGGCATTTTGTGACACTGTGTTTATCAGGTTAGGTCAAAAGGTGATTTGATGAACATTCAAGTGGGCAATCGTTAGACCCTAACTGAAGTGATTATTTTAAAAGTAAAAGCAAATAAAAACGAAAGTTTGATCTAATTTTATTTTAACTATTCATTTGTGAATGAATGGTCTACAATTTGATATAGACTTACAAGTTTCATTTAATAGGCTCTGAGTCTGGAGGGAAATTTGACAAGACCAACTGACTGACATGGGCTCCTTAAAATCAGACAGTAAGACATGAAGCATTCAGGCCTACCTGTTGCGAACTCGAGAATCCATATGTGATGAAACTTTCAACTCTCCATCTTTCTGGAACCTACCATAATCTCGGAGAGTTGTTTTAGAAGGCTGAAACAGATTTTTCAAGAAATGATTTTTCCATTAATTAATCATCAAATCTTTCAGAAAAATTTGAATACCTGAAGTTATGATATGTCTTCCTTTGTAGTCTAAAGGTACAAAAATATTTGATAATTTGAAGATTAGTTTACGTTAATACCATCTCCGCATTTTGGTTAACAATGACAAACTAGAACTGTAAACAGCAAAATTTATCGGAAGACCTTTACCGTAACTCCTAGCCTTTTTTTAGCTTTCAACCCTGGCGTTTTGAAGCCTTCCTTTGATGAACAAGAAATCAAAACTCTCAGGTATCTATTTATCAGGTATCTATATATCAGGTAAATATATCAAGTACATAATTACGCTCCAGAAATGTCACCAAATTCGCAAAGCGTAAAAAGTTTTTTGGTGTCTGGATAATCTAGCCTAAAGAATTTGAATTATTGTATGTGATAACTTTCTATTCATAAGCGAAGGAGGCAGTAACCAAAAAGAAAACTCGAACTTTTGGAGTTGTGCTTTGCCTAACATCTTTGAACCCTTCAACATTTTTGGGCAAACCAGCCTTAACTCTTTAAATTGACAAAATATCAGATATTTTTTAAATTTTGCCAAATTTAATGATTTGAATTTGAAAAGTATTTCAAACTGCTTAATTAAAAAATATTACTCTCCATTTTTATTTAACCCTTTTAAAAAGAAGTTGATATATAGACATGAATAGCACACTTTACAAATATTTTCAAGTGTAATTTTTTACAAAAAAGCGAAATGCCCCTTTAAAAGAGAATAAAGAGTATATTCTGATCATGAAAACCACATCACATCGAAGTGAGATAAATACATAAGATAGAATTTGAGCAGTAAAAAATTATATATTTAAAACAATATGTTAATGCATTATTGTTATGTATCTTTGGAAAGTCCAAACATACTTTAAGGATATCAAAAAATCAAGTTCCTGTGTTTATTAGGGAATGTGGTATAGCCGTCCAAATTTGCAAAAATGTCAATTTTCATTGCCAATAAACCGGAAGTTGATTAACATATCCCAAACTACAAAGGAAATGAATATGGACCAACAGATATTATCCAGTAGAATAACCAACCTATATAGACAAACCCCGTAACAACGAAACATATAAGAAATTATGACATCACATAGCAAATACAATTTGGCTTGAATGGTATTCACAATAGTAAATTCATAATCTGGTTAATCAAGTTTTTGACAGTCTCCTGTTTCTCATACAAACACAATAAAATATCTATTAATTTCTGTTAAGACGTATATAATCTCACCATTTTCAGATCAACTATGCTATTCTGTATTTCTTCTATTAATTGTAATGATTCATGATCTCTTTTCACTTCATTGACATATAACGATAAATCCTACAAATAAAATGAAAAATAAGTAAATAAAATTTGACACATTCATCTTCTTTGCTCTCATTTGCACACTGAATTTTGTAGACATACATACAGCAGCAATGTAGTCCAACAAATCTGGCACTACCCAGTTCCTCTGATATTGGGATGGGATATCGGAACTGGGTTTAGGGCCAGACATATAAGGTCGATTTTTATCAGGAATTGATTCAGTACATTTCAGGGTTTTTAATGAGTAATGAAGATATTGCCAAATATTCTGCAATGTCCCTGTGCCCCACACGGTATCACAATACAGTCAAGGAGTATGCTTTTCTTATCTTTGTACATCTCCATAAATATAATTTATGCAACAAAATGTTGTTGAGATGATCAAGAGATTGAGGTGACGTTGTGCGATACCAGCTCCCATATACAATTGAAATATCTATATATCTTAAACAGTTTATATGTTATGTTATCCATGGATATAGAAATCAGAAATTTCCAACTGGTCCAAGATCTCATAAATATAAATAAATACCTTTCGATACATTTGGACTAAGTCCAGGGTTGTTAATCAAAAACTATAATGTTACAAATTTCTACTAATTCTTTTCTATTAAGATCATGATTTTTATAGCAATAAATGTACGGTTGGATGAGTATTGTTTAGTGTATCAATATTCAATATACAACTAACCAATAAAAATTAGATTTACCTGCATGGCTGCCAGTGCTCCTTCCAAAGAAGGTTTATCTGGGTGTGAAGGTTCTGATTTGATTAATTCCTGAAATGATGAAAAAAGTTCAAATAAAATAAAGAAATGCTTGGTAAGCAAGTCCTCAACAACACAAATTGTGTGGGATGGTCAACTAATAGGCAATACATGTATTAGTGTCCTTTTGAAAAGCAAAACTTTCATTACTTAGTTTGCTTAAAGGGAGAGGTTCATCATCTGTTTAACCAATCATACCTTAGTCTCAGAAACAGAATTTTTTTTAGCTAAGCTAAATGTTTTCAAAGCATCAGTTTGTTTAAAAGGATAGAAGCGTCCTTTTTTTTTTACCAATCCTACTTTAATCTCAGAAATGGGAATTTTTCAGCTAAGCCAATCATTAATAGTGTTCACAGCTCACCATCAAAATTTGAGACTTGAAATCCACATGTGTCCAAAATGTTGAGTGTTTGAATGTTAAAATGACAACTCGTCATTTTAAGATACTGTGTGATATATAGAAATACATATAGAAATAGTGAATATTTACATATATTCAAGACTAAAATCAACCCCCCCCAAAATAAATGCTAGAGGCATTCATCTTGCTCTTTCCTATTTCAACAGTATTGATCATCTGAAGAAATTCGACTGAAACTTACTCTGAGTAGAAGATGATATTTCAGTACACGTTGCATTGGAACTGACAATAAATCACGCAATCTGAATTTACCCTCATTGGCATTCCTTTCACATTCCTAAAAAGAAAATGTATCTGTAATAATAATGAGGCTGACCATATCTAGCTCATTATGAAAATTAATAAGTTACATAAAGAAAATAGCTAAATGAAATGAAATGAAAGATCCTACTCTTCTGCACCTAATTGAGCCAATGAAAACAGGCAACGCCAGGAAGTGTGCAATGAGGGAAATTTTGCCAGGACTGCAGGATTAGCCTACTCTTTTTCGATTTCCAACTATCAAGGGATCTTTAGAGTGCACAGCCTGTAGCACACACAGGGCCTCGGTTCATTGTTACATCCAAATGACTAGACGAGTTTTCCATGTCAGCCCCTCCAACCTACATCAATAATTTATCCCTAGCCCGAACATGAAACTTCAGGCTGACAAACACATCTGCAACTCACCGAAACAATGCATATCATTCCCAAGATGAAAATTAAAATAACACACTTTTTGCTCACCTGAATTTTTTGTCGAGGCATTTCAGCTTCACATAATTTATCTATTGATTCCTGGGCAGATGGTAAATTAGCACAATAGTCTCCATAAATTACAAGTTCGGTTTTATATCGAATAAAAATATCAGCTAATTTTGCTGAGGAAGACATCACTGTTCTTAATAAATCATCATAAAATGCTTTATGTATTTCATATAATTTCTGCAAAGATAAAAAAGAAAAAGCACGTCAGGCAATGAATTACAATATATCAATCAATTAGCCTGGTTTCTTTATATTATCTACTCATTTTAATAGACTCAACATTTTCCATACTGATAAAAAAAACTCACTATTGTCTGAGCAAGTTTGTTGGTATATCAAATTTTGCCCTTTTTACTAAAGAGAATTTGATCAAATGCTTCAAACCAATACTGATAATCTTAAAATAATTTTGCGTTGATAAAAAAATAGTACAAATTAGCTCCTTCTAATGAAAGTGTGTTTTTTTTTTCAATGTCAACTAACAAAAATTTATATTTCTATCAACGCTAAGTCATTTTAATATTATCAGTACTATTTTGAAGTTCATATTCAAAACAGCAAATTTCAATATACCAACAAACTCAGTATTTCCACTTTTGAATTAGCAGCAGATTTCAACTTTTGAATCATTTTGACCTACAAACATTTTTAAAGTGAAATCAGAAGCACTCACCTCAATATTACCAAAAATTATGCCCCTTTCTTGTACATTCAAAACAGTAGTTAATTTTTTAATGAAATGCTGAAATATAGAAAGTGCCAAGCATGGTTACAGCGGCAATTAGACTTTCAAAGAATCTAGTCATCTAAGATGTAATCTACAATATGAGGTCAATCTTGTGATTTAACATGGAAAGAGATCCTATTTGAGGTCAATCTAGTAATTTAACATGGAAAGAGATCCTATTTTAGGTCAATCTTGTGATTTAACATGGAAAAAGATCCTATTTGTTGTCAAAGATCCTATTTGAGGTCAATGTAGTGATTTAACATGGAAAGAGATCCTATTTGAGGTCAATCTAGTGAAAGTCAATCTAGTGATTTAACATGGAAAGAGATCTTATTTGAGGTTAATCTAGTGATTTAACATGGAAAGAGATCCTATTTGAGGTCAATCTAGTGATTTAACATGGAAAGAGATCCTATTTGAGGTCAATCTAGAGATGTAACATGGAAAGAGATCCTATTTCAGGTCAATCTGGTGATTTAACATGCTTTTTGATAAATCCTAAGTTTAATGGATATATTGTCTTATATAGAGATTAAATTCTTTAGTCATGACACCTGGTAAGTCTAACTGATGAATATATATATTCCTATTGAACAAGTTTGAGATCATAAATTTTACATCCATCAGGTCCATTTCATTTCGTTCATGTGGCCATATCAGAGTCATATCAATTGAGTTCATATTGTCTCTAAGTAAGTGATGCATCTCTTAGCTGAAATGTAAGAAAACCTACCACAACAATCATATTCAGTGCATCAACATAGTTTTTCTCTGTATCTATCAATTCTTTTATACAATGTTCTCTTTTGCAGGTAGGAGGTGGTAATGATTGCTGAAACACAGAACAATCAAGACAAAATATAATACAATGAGCTTTAGCCCAGGAAAGTACCCAACAAGATGTTTTACAAAAGCCCACAGAGTAAAGTTTATAGCTCGCAAACTTAAGAAATAAATTCTTGTCTTAAGCCTGATTATAAAAGTTTTCTTGATCGCAGGCTTTGAAGGATTTTTGGCAGTCACAGAAAACTTTGATGGACTTTGATGAAGTTGAATCGCATCCTATTTTTCTAAAAATTTTATGGGCTTTGAATTTTGATGGGAAATAACCAATCAGTGTTGAGTTTGGGAATGATACAGAGGATGGGGTCCTGAGAAGAATCAAATCATGAAATCTGTTGGGGTGGGTTTCAATCCCAACCACACTATCAGTGGGGAATCTCATAAAGGTGAGAAGGTTAAGAAGACTTACTGTTGAAAGTCGTCTGTTGTCTTTCTGTAATTGTATAACATCATTATAAATTTCATCATCATCATTATCATTTTGTACACTATCATAGATTTCTTCTTGGTCAAGCAGGTCATTTTCACTGTAATATAAGATAAATTTATCAAAGTCACAACAGAAGCAGCGCCAGACTCATGAGACTGGGGGTAGACTCATTCAATGGGGGACAACTGTCCAGGCTAAATTCCAAATGTGCCAGTTCTGTAGATGCGCAAAAGTCTGAAGTCTCTCATGGAGCGTCTGAAAAATTGAATTGAATTTGTGCATTCTTATGTATATTTTGAAGCAAAAACATATGAAAAACATATTTCAAAATTTGTTAAAGATAGCTTGCTGGGCAATATACGCCCACTGGCAGCTTTGATTTTGAATAAAAATATTTATCAGTAGAGTAACAATCACCAGTATGAAATATTCAACCTTCAGTCATACACTTCTTTTGAACTTTTTGGGGCGATGCTGAATTACATTACTAAGTTTTGTCAAAATTGGGCAAGAACTGTGTCTTTTAGTGTTTACAGGCTAAAATTTGTAAGTGTTTTCAAGAACAAGGTCAATAACTCTTATAAAACTGTTTTTGATTTTAGGGTTCATCATGATAATAAACAATTTCACTTCGTCAAAATCTATCAAGGATACGGACGGATCAACAGACTGTTTTAATGCAATGTTGGATAATCAGTACTTGAAGGTTATATTCCAATTCCCATAAATGTCAAATTTGTTGTACCAATGTTTGAGAAAAATAAATAATATAGACTGAGATAAATTGCAGGTTGACCTACAACTAATCACCTTAAGCGCTGATAAAAAAAAAAGAGTTAAGAAGCAATATGTAAATGTCTTTTCAATATAAAAAAAAGACAGAGGTGACCGCAATATACGACCATATTATAGGACTACTTTGTTGTTTTCTATAGCAGATTATTTTTTTGAATGTTAACCCATGTGTTGTGCTATAGAGTATCTACATTATTTGGATCAGCTAAACAAGGACCAGTAAAAAACGTTGTGAAATGGTTTGTGTGTCTTCTGTTTTAATGAACATATTATAATGTGGGTGTATAAAAACTCAAAGAATCCCTTGCTGGATTCACAGGAAGGTTATCACATTGGTATTTCAATATTGAATTAAATACTATTTTGAAAAAAAATTGTAGATTGGTATATGTGCCTATTACATATTATGAAAAATGTTTACTTACTCGGCTAAATCTTGCAGGTTACCATAAATATCCTCATCTTCAGAACTATGTACATTATCAGGTGGGAAACCACTAAAATAAAAGATAACTTGTCAGGCAAGGTAACATACACCCACTTAAATGAAAGGGTATTTTGACGGTTGTCAGCTGGAGTAGATTCAGAAGAAAAAGTCCCTGTGATACCTTTTCTCTAACATAATATTGAATTACCTTTAACATGATTGTAAATTAGAGTTGTAAATTAGTTTTGGGCATTGCTGTAACCTTCGTTTTGATAGTATCACATGACTCTGTGACCTTTAAAATTGCACGCAGTTTTAAATGGCTGATGGTAGATCAGTTTCCCCAAAAAAAACCTTTGATGGAACTGGAGATGTGACATAAATGGTGTGGGGAGAAAATGATGGTATGACTGAACTACAATAATATTCATCTTTCCAAATATATATGGGTTTTGCAGATCCAGGGTATCTAAATAGGTTTAAAAACCTGCGGAGCAGGGCATTTATCAGCGGCTATTTTTTCTGTCCCTACACCAGCTGACATCTGTTAGAGGCTGGACAGATGTATTGGTCTAGTATCACCTTAACACTGCTCTCATGTCTCAATTTTTAAAGATATTCTATAAAACAAGGCAATATCTCAATGACAATTTATTAAATTATAATCAAAATCACACATAAACATACACAGCCTTTCAAATTTCATCAAACTGTATAAAAACTGTTATTCTATGATATTTATCGTTCATCCAATTATTACCAAATTTATACTTGACCATGGTCATATCATTATCATCAATATTATAAACCCATGATGGCAAATCTCTTTGATGTTTGAGGTTGATTCTAATTCAGTAATAACTTCCCAACACTGGGAAGGGTTTTTCTTATGAGGTACAAGTCTTACCCAGGTTCTCTATTCTCAGGTACAAGTCTTACATTCAGGGGACAGGTTTTACTTTTAAGGGGTGGGTTAAAGGATCTTGTTATATGTTATGTTATAAAGGCTATCTTCAATTGAAAATTAGTTTGTAAGCTTCAAAATCAAATAACGCTAAAATGTAACTACTCTTTAATGATTTTGTGGTGTATTTCTTACACACTATAACAACAATATAGATATACCCTTATGTTTCTTGTAAACCTTTTCACTAAGAACTTAAATGATAATATTGTTCATAGTAAACTACAAACAATCAGTACATAACAGATACTATACTTCTCGCCCATTGGGCGAGTTATTTTTTCTAATTTCAGATCAGAATAAGAACAGAAGAAAACCCAATATCAAGACCCTTAATCCTAATTTCTAAATAAAGTGTCTGCTCCACCCTAGGCCTGTACATTTGGGAGAATCAAACCCTCCCTTTCCCGAAAACAAAATAGATATACCCTTATGTTTCTTGTAAACCTTTTCACTGGTCATTATTAAGATACAGCATAAACTTTTTTTTGAAATATAAAACTAGATTATCAGAGTGTAATTTTTAGGGTGGTATTTTTATTGTTTAATACTACATACGCTTTTAGTATTTTTGAAATTGCTCAATAAATAGAATCATTATCGGTATTTATTTAACACTAAACGTGAGAGCAAGCCAAAGTCGCACAAGAGCTGCGAGCTGGTTCTTGGCCAAACCTCTTGGCATTGGTCTTTCCTGGATTATCCATACCCATTTACAGCTGGGTTGACTGGAATTATGAGTGAAGATGATTTAGTCATAGCCACTGAACTATCACATGCCGCTCTAACCGACTGTGCTATAGAACCTAACAGTGCCTATATTGTGAAACTTTCACACAAACCACCCACAAGTACTCACCTTGGAATCACCATAGTAATTGAAAAGATTAAGTCGAAGTATTACTGGCCAGGACTAAAAGCTTATTTAGAAGAATTCATGGAAGAAGATGGGCCAACAACCGTTGATTAAGAACGAAGTCAGCTTGGGTTTTGATCAAGTAATGCAAGGGTATCCAGATGCACCACATAGTTAAAAGTATAGGGTTATTGGGTGACCTGCAACAATTTTCAAAATGGGTGATTTCAGATGGAATCTCCCAATATCTGTAAGATGGTATTGATGTTTAATATAAATGTGATAAGCCAGAGAACGTGCTGTGCAGTAAAAGTTGATTGAAATATTTCCAGTTGATTTGAATATTTTTCGTTGATTTATACATTTCCAATTAATTGAAATATTTCCAATTGATTGAAATATTTCCAGTTTATATAAATATTTCTAGTTGATTGAAATATTTCCAGTTTATCTAAATATTTGTAGTTGATTTGAATATTTTCAGTTGATTTAAATATTTCCAGTTTATATAAATATTTCCAGTTTATATAAATATTTCTAGTTGATTGAAATATTAAAATATTTCTAGTTGATTGAAATATTTCCAGTTGATTGAAATATTTCCAGTTGATTGAAATATTTCCAGTTTATTTAAATATTTCCTGTTGATTGAAATATTTCCACTTGATTTAAATATTTCCAGTTTATTTAAATATTTCCAGGAGTTGATTTAAATATTTCCAGTTGATTTAAATATTTCCTGTTGATTGAAATATTTCCAGTTTATTTAAATATTTCCAGTTTATAAATATTTCCTGTTGATTGAAATATTTCCACTTGATTTAAATATTTCCACTTGATTAAAATATTTCCAAGTGATTTAAAGTTGATTCAAATATTTCCAGTTGATTTAAAGTTGATTTAAATATTTAAATATTTCCAGTTGATTTAAATATTTCTAGTTGATTTAAATATTTCCAGTTTATATAAATATTTCCATTTGATTTAAATATTTCCAGTTGATTTGAATATTTCCAGTTGATTTGAATATTTCCAGTTGTTGATTTGAATATTTTCAGTTGATTTAAATATTTCCAGGCAAGGACTGTGTTGTTGCAAGACTGTTTTTATTGTGCCATGCATTATTGTTAAGTTTTTTTTTTTTTTTTATGTACAGTAGAAACTGTATCAAGAGACTACTCAAAGGAATAATCCAAAGCGGTCCCTTATTGGAGATGGTCTCTTAGAAAAGAATTCAGTCAGAATAAACACCAAAACTATTTTATTTTGATGGTCAATTTATATCTTTAGACTGATCTAATTAATTAACAATTGAATAATTAATCTTTGGAGGATTAGCAAATTGACACTAATGACACCAGTTTGTTGGTTTGCTTAATTTGACACTAAAAAAATAAGGAAACCCATCTTTAATTGATTCATTTTTCTTACATGGGGGTGTTATACATGGTTGCTGGTGGTGTAATGAAAGTGGTCACTTGTCAGTCGTTAATTATATTATATATTATATTAGTTGTAGAGTGGACTTTCTTGTGGTTGTAAATTGATGGTGATTGCTTGGTGAATGGTAGGCGCATGAGCAGAATTCACTGTATTGTGTAAAAGCGAGACACATTTTAGCAAAGGCATCAGATATGTAATGACCATGAATTCCAAATTCAAATCCTTATTTCTTTGTATTGTTTACATTTTGACCAGAAGTTTATATCTGCGTTGCCACTAAGATGTTGTTTTACTTCAATAGCTATTTTCGAATTATACTATTAATATTAGATATCCTTGTATTGTTTTTCAATTTATCATGTTGCAATGTAAGTTATGATATTATTGTTGTTTTTAATGAGTTTATGGTAATCGTGAATCATGTTGCCTTGTAGACGTTTTTTGTCAGGTCCGTTCGTTCCATTTTGTTTGTTATTTGCGATTGTCCACAGCAGGTGTACTACGTTATCAGAAGACCTTATAAAAAAAAGATTTCTTATTGAATAAAACAGCAAATTTTGAAACCAAGAGGTCAGTTTTTAGGGATTTTTCTTGTTCAGATTCAAAATGTGTTCTACAAAGAAAGTTCTCACTCTTTGCAATACTCAATACCCCCCATAAATTGAAATTTGGTTGAAAACTGAAGAAGCAATAGCACTTTCAATATTTGCGTCAATAAAATAGTATAAGTTATAACTTTATCAATATGCATACTTGAAAATCAACATCACATTTGACTAGAGTCAATATCCATTTTGAAACTAGCTGAAGTTAACTTAAAGGGGCATCCTGCTTTTTTTGTAAAATATTTTCATTATGAAAAACGTATATGCTAAAGTAATCTATTAATATCTATGTATCTTCTTGATCAAACTAAATTTGTTTAAAAAGGGTTAATTAAAAACGGAGAGTACTAAATGTTAATTAAGTAGTTTGACCTAGTTTAGGTGATTGGCTTTTTAATGGCTTGTTATATTCAGTTGAAATCTTTAGAAAACATATTTCTCTACAATTAGGCGTTTATTTTACTCAAATGCGTACTGTAGTTATCTAACGACTTTTAAAAGGTTATGTAACCTTTAACGTAAAGTTTGAGAGTTACAAAATTGACAAATTGAATTCTTTTAGTTAAAACTTTCAGATACGTTATGCGATACATTTTCTATAGCTTTTGGTTTATAGTTTTCACTTTAAACCACTTCTATCAATTTTGAAACAAATAAGTCAAGATCTATATTAAAGTTAAATGCTGAATATCGAATTCTTTCATCTGAATCTAGGAAAACTACAACATAAAAGTAAGAGGGGTTAGTAGATCAAATAAGTGCATTCTCACTAATCATCACAACAATTTTGATTAATGATGGATTAGTTGCAAGAACACAGATTAAACATTTCGTGCCATTCTAAAACTTACGTTGCTTCCAAATCATTATTATATGTATGCCCAGAAAAGTGCTTAACATCGTTGGGAAATCCTCTTGAAGAAAAAAAAATAACAAAAAAATTTAGTAAAAAAACTGGTTTTCTCAATGGACTTTTCTCTTGACAAATTTAACAGCTACTTGTATAACAAAACACAAGACAATATTATGGAATACAACACACTTCTTTAATAAGGTTGGGCACATAACGTTTCAACACAATATATAAGTGTCGTCATCAGATGTAATTTGTAATTTGATATATAAGTTTACATGAACATACCAATTTTCAATAGTATCAGTACCGCTATGTTGTTCAATCTGTCATAGTTATCAGATTAACAATTATTAATCAATTTCATTGGAAATCAATTTTTAAATGATAAAGGTTCACGTATTCAATTTTGTTTAAGTACTTTTTCTCATGTTTCTTCATTTTTACCGGCCACCTTGTAGTCATTGTAATATTACAAATAGTCGCAATCTACAAATGTATTGAAATGTTCGCTATGGCATATTTAACCTTTTAAGTGAATTTAAGTCAGAACAGTGATAAATAAACATTTCCTGACAGAATACACATGTACCTTACTTCTGAACTGTGAAATCAATAAAGATAGTTAATATTTGTCAATGAGGTTAATGATAAAAATATACACAATTTGACTCAACTCAAAATTCAAGGACTTTTTTAGAGAAAATGGGTTTTTATCGTGTTTTCAAAGACTTTTTTTTAAATCAAGGTTTTTCAAGGCAACAGACGGAATTCAAGGGTTTTTCAAGGATGTGCGAACCCTGGATACACGTCTACACTTTTCCTTGCATCGCCTAACTTGCCTTTCTTTCAGAAATTGTTAGAACATGGATCCCTACTTGTGATATAGAAAATACAATCTAACACACACAAAATCCATATCAATAATTTAGTTTTGAATTTCTAAAAACACTTACATTTGAAGAAACATAGAGATATATATATACTTGTGAGCAGTTAATGACAGAAACCTCATGAAAAGTTATAGAGATACATGATCTGTTGGCTTCCTAGGATACGACGTACTGTTTCAGTGCCATAACCATGCAGCTCTAGCTTTGTATGTTGTTTTTTTTGCGAATCCTGCCCTGAGCACGAAGCCAAAACTATATATTCCTCAATATCACTGATGCAACGTCATTATTAAACTTGTGAAACTAAATTGTGAAAATGTAATTCAATGCATTTTTTGTTCAATATCCAGAAATAATGTCTTTTGATTTTACGCTTTTCCTAATTTACGGTACTGCATTTTTTATTTATTATTATGATAAGAACAGCAATTTAAAAATATTTTCAAATTATGATTTTTCTGAATTCTAATTTTTGCGTTATTTCAACTTTGGCAGTTTTATTTTAATCAGTCAGAAAATTTACAGTTAGTGTTAGACAATTTTATTACAAACAAAAAGCTATTTTCAAAATTTTGATATTCGTAGGTGAAATTTTTTCGACGTCACGCTTCATCAGGAACATCATTAGATGACGTAATGACCTCAAAATCTCCAGCCTGTCTAAGCTCACAGTGGTAAATTAAGATAACCTAAGGTTGACTTTGGTAATATGAAAACTGAAAATTGTAGATTACAAAGTCAATGTGAATGACCAATCTGAAAAATGCAAAAATTGAAAAAGATGTTATGTCATACCTGTATTTGCCAACAGCCAAATCTGTTTTGGATAATTTCGACAAGGTTTCTAATACCTACAAATACAATTGAAAGCTTACAATATACATCCACTGCAGTGAGAAGCAATAATGATGAGAATGAGACTATACCAAGTTAGCTTACCAGGCAAGGTAATATTTGCCCACTGGCAACTTTGATTTTGAATAAAAATATTTGGCAGTACAGTAACAATCACCAGTATGAAATGTTCAACCTTCAGTCATAAACTTCTTTTGAACTTTTTGGGGTGATACTGAACAAAATTACTAAATTTTGTCAAAATCCAGCAAGAATCGTGCCTTTCAGTGTTTACAAGGAAAAATTTAAAAGTGTTTTCAAGAACACGGTCAATAACTCATACAAATTAGTTTTTTAGATTTTTTGATTTTCAATAGGGTACATCCTTGGGTGATAATAAACAATTTCACCAAATTACAAATTTTGATAGTCAAGTTTCAATCAAAATCCATCAAGAATTATGCCTTCACAAGTGTTTACAAGTTAAAGTCAAGACCAAGGGCAATAACTCATACTAAATATTTTTAGATATTTCTAATATTCAACAGGATTCATGCTTGGGTGATTACAAAGACTCACATCAAGTTTTATCTAATTCTCTATCAAAAATTTACTATATTTTATGACCAAGGAAATAGGGCTGGGTATTGCTTTCCAAATTGACATCGATTATCGATGGCAGACTACGGATCAATAATCGATTAATAATCGAAATAATTCAATTGAGAAACCCTGTAAATACTTTATTAAAAACATGCCAGAATTCTTAATTTCATGGGTTTTTTTTGCGTCATGGAAGTATATTCTTGCTTTGATTGGTTATTGTGGGTATGTTATGTGCAGAAGGGAAACCAGGTGAGAGTAAGCTTACTTATTAACGGGTACAGTGGAGAAAATGTAACTTTGACATATAATCTATTATGAAATTTGATAATTGATAATAGAAATTATAAATTCCTAGCAACGATAATCATTCATTTCGATCATTTTCCCAGCCCTACAAGAAAGTTTTGAAATTACACCTTCTCATGCTAAACTTACCTTTCTGAAATTTTTAACATCAAATAAATCTACTGGTTGAAACAAGTCACAATCACGTAATCCAAAATTTCTTTTACATGTCTGTAGAAATGTTCTGATATTTTTCATACATAAAAACTGAAAAAATAAATAATAAAATAATTAAAAAAAAAATTAGCAACACAAGATTCAATACAGAAATATTGTGTACAATCCATACCCATGACAATTCAAACAGTGACAATATAATGAGGTGTGGGTCAGAAAAGTTCCAGGACTGGTTTATTTTAAGATTTTCCCTTCAAATTAATCCTCAGGATGCCTAAAGACTGCATAATGTTGACTGTGCAAGGTGAGGCGAGAGTTGTGGCAGTTTAACTTGTGGCTTCTTCAAATTGACAACTTTCTGTGCTATATGCTCAAACCATCCAACAGTTTCTGGCTGAGAAGAACAGAATCTTTGAGCTGAGCTAATCAGTAAGGCGTTCACATGTCATCATAGAAGTTTGAGCCTTTATTCCATGTGTGTTTAGAATTATCCATATTTGAAGTTAAAAAGACACGACTCATCTTTTATTGAGTCACTGTCATAAAAGACATTTTATAGGAATAGAAAGGGAAATTAATTTTAAGGAAAGAATTATCCAATTTTTGTACATTTCTAATAGCCTACTTCTGAAAACTATTTACATATAATCAAGACCCAAATCAACCACCGAAAATGGCATACCTATCCCTTTAAACTTATGTGACTAAAATTCAATTTAAAATATCTATGCTCAATTTGTTCACCATATTTTTGTAAATTAATACCAATAACCCAAATTTTGATGCATTTTTTCCTTAGTCAAAGCCGATAACTAATAAAATATCTATTTAACATTTTCAAAAACCAAAAAGGTAATAATCTAAAGCTCTCAAGTAACTCAAGCCTAGTATTTGTAAATATCTAAATAAATAGTTGATATTTTAATTTATACGAATTGATTGGCAAAGATTCAATTCAGTAAAAATTCAATTCAATAAACAGTGTAAAGACACAGAATAGATTATATAAGGTCCAAAAGGAGTAATTGGTATTATCAGTGACCAGGAACTAATATTGTATCATTATTGACGTTATGTCAACTATTAAAATACAATACAAACCTGTGACATTTGTGGTCTTGGACTAAAATCCCTTTGGTCTACGCAACTCGGGGACAGCTGATTAAGCAGATGACATATGAGTACTCCATCTCTCAAGGCTTGTGCCAAATCAAAGGCACTGGCCTGAACTTGATTAGCTTTGTGATCTGATGGCAATATTTGACATCTTACAAGCCAGTCAGTACACATTCGCCACTCATCAGACGCCATTTTTTACTAAATTTCTTCCTGGCTGTTTTGGCTTCGTCCCAATTTTGTTTTGGCCAAATTTTGTGTCCACTGACCAATTTTTATGGCCGACCATTGGTGGTGTACAAAAAGAAGAATTTAACTATAAATTACAATAACATGACAAAAAACGATTTATTTTTCAAGGAACCTCTCACATCTCTTAAAAAACCTTTTACTACGCCTTGAATGTTCTATTTGAGATAAACCCAATAAAAGAAAATGCCGTGAGCTGTAAACCTCGCACAATTTTTAGTTGACTTTTTGGTGCCTGTAAATTTCTATTACGCAATCAAAAAATTAAGGCGTATAAAAAATGGCCTATCCTGTAGCCTAGTTCATCCCTTTTCTTTCTTCCAGGCCTACCTCTTTTTTTATGCTGGAGAATAGCCTGACCGAATAGGACAATTTCAATTATAATTGTCCAAAAATGTTATGCTAGATCACAATAAGCACCTCATTTTGCCTACCTGGCCAGTGACTGATATGGCCAACTGACAAGTCAAAGATGATCAAAGCATCAACATGGCAAATTAAAGAATTGGTAAATTTTTGCGGAAGGTCATCCATGGAATTATGAACAAAATTGTTGGTTCCAGTGAACCAATCACTTAAAATTATTTTACATTTTCGTTTATTTCAATTTTTCTAAATCGGTCAGTTTTTTGCCAAACGTTACGCAAACTTTTTAAGTTCGTTATGCTTTGGACTTTGTAGGTGTTAGAAAACTACTGTAGTCCTACAGTAGAGAAATATGTCTCCTACGTATTTTAAAGGTTTCCAGTCTTCATATAGGGCTCTACAATAAAAATTGTTCATGTTGCCTAGTTAACAATTAGTAGGTCTAAACTCCGTTTTTAATTAACCATTTCAAACAATCTCATTTTGATCAAGTAGATACATAGATGTATTTTAGAAATATTTTCAGGTATAATCAAAGAAGTTTATGATTTTATTCAATTCTCGCCTTTTAAAGACGTTTTATTTGAACTATAATATTTTCGTTTCTTGATTTAACTACAACTATCATCCCCTAAATGAGTGTATCAATTGGCCACAAAATTAGTCAGCTACATTGAGTTATAAATATAACAGGGCCGTCCACTGATGGAGGGTGTCTATTTGCCACGCGAGGTAAATTACAGCAAAGTCGCTATAGCTATATTTACAGTTGTACACCAGACGACAACTGTCCAAATAGCTATCTGAGGATGGAATAGAGGCATATGTTTCTGACTAGGTTGCTGTCAGAGTTTTGACTTATTTATGGTTATGATCCTGTCTAATCGAAAGAGATCCGTGGCTATTCGCACCGCGATGGTACAAAAATAGGCATTAAAATACATATAGCCATCGCAACCTATAACCCTAACAAAACCATTCTTGACAAATAAAATGGCTTTGCGATTAACACGCCCCCCCCCCCCCCCAACTCCCCATAAAAATAGCTCGCCAATTGCTTTTCACGATCACAATCAGGTAATTTTCATGTGGGCGCTTCTACCGAGCGATATCGATATAATCATGCGTAACAGTCATGGTAGACTTCAATGAAATGAATGGAGTCATGCTCTTCTACACCTAATTTGGATAATGAAGACAATGACATACAAAGTGTGCTATGAGGAAAAACATTTTTAATGAATTTTTCATTATGATTGCCAACGGCGTCAACCCAATACATTTTCTACCTGCAGTACAAGATTGCAAGTAGTCATAATCCGGTGTCATGTCATGTGTGACTTAAATTTTTGTCATTTTTGGGATTTAAAAAACAAACAAATAGTTGACACCCTATATTGATCTCCAAGGGAGAAAGGAGACACAAGTATCGTTGCAGAATGTATAGCTTTGTTCTTTGTCACCATTCTGGCTTAAACCCATTTTAATGGCTTTTTGCTATTTTCCGCGTGGTAAATATCTCTTGCCCTACCGAAGAAAAGAGGAGTGTCAGTTGGTGCGAAAGTAAAGAAAATTCAGAAATCATCTCAAGAATCAAATTGGATATGATATATAATAATGTCTAACCATTCGAGTGTACAACTTTTTAAAACAATTCCATATTCCAAATAATTGAAGGGGTTTTCTTTTTTTACGAAACTAGATCAAGACCTAAATATAGATTGTTAAATTTTTGGATTGGGTTCGTATAAATTCCAGTTTTTCGGCTTTTTTTTGTTTCTAAGGTATTCCAGGCTTACCATTTGAGTTCCATAGGCTTCAGTGCCTATTTTGAATTATGTTTACAGAACTAATGATTGTTATAAAACATCAATATCACTGTCGGCCCCATCACGGTAGGGCCTACAAATTATTATTTTTTAGTTTTTTTTTTTTTTGCATAGTAGTTAAAAGAAACACATTTTGTGGAGTTATTTTGATCGGCTACTCTCTGACTACCCTATTTACTAAATTGAATTTTGGTAATCATTTTAGTCTACATCCTCAATTTCTGCTTGGGCATGTCTGCAATTTTATGCCCGGAGAGGTTTCTATTTAACCCATATTAGCTTATTTCTCACTGCCATGGTATCTCCATATGCCAACAGCTTTGTACATCATGGGATTTTGACTCAAAGGAGAGAGAATTGATACTATGACAATGAGGCCCCTTTTGACAAGCTTCTTATGTTGTGATTGAAGTCCACAAGCTTATAGGCTATGGCTTATTTGCGAAGTTAATTAATTCAGTTAATTTTTTGTTATTTCAGTTAACAAGGATATGATGATGTAAGTGACTTCAAGTTGTTTCAATTATCCAGCCTCATGAACAGATCTCACGAATTTAATGTATATATTTGTCAACTTATGAAGATACGTACAGCACTAGTTGAACGATGCACCATGTGTCTAAGAATGATATAAGAAGAGTCGAAAGTGAAATTTTCAACATTATGTAATAAGCTTATTCATTTTTAATTTGATTACTTACTTCTTTGCATTAAGAAACAGTCCAAGTCAAAAAATTCCCTTTTCATCAAGAAACTTAACATTTTCCTGGTATTTGGTCCTGGTATTTGTTCATGGTCATGAGAACTGCAGGCTGTTTTGCTACAATTATGTAGTACTGTAGGTTCAACTTTAAATAACTGTTGAACCTGTTTGACCTTTGTTATCCCTTAATGGATATGTCATTGGTATTTACTGGAGGGGACAGCGCCATTTAAAATTGTTGGCTATTAGGGAACTAAAAAACACTTACAAACCTTTGTTCCCAGTATTTGGTCATGCAAACTGGCCTAGTGGTCACCTGCTATTACATAGTACAATAGGTCTATTTTTGTTTAAATGTAAATGACTCTATATTCAATTTTTTGTAGCTAAGGCTGCAGTGAAATTTGCTACTGCATTGGTATATAGATGTTTTAGCGATGACTCTTGGAAAGTTACAATTATCAAACTTATTTGATTTGCAGTTATATATCATTCCTTTTTTTTGTCATTTCAGTTAACAAAGATATGATGATGTAAGTCACAGCAAGTTGTTTTAATTATCCAGCCTCATGAACAGATCTCACAAATTAAACCTAGATAATGTATATATCTATAAACGTTATGAAGATACAGCATTAGTTATATTCAATCAGCTTCAAAAACAGAAGATTTTGTATCCTCGAAATGCTAAAGCAGGGCCCCCGGCTACTAACACTAACGACATTGGAAATTCATCCACTTTTGGGGCAGTAGCCTTACCCCCAAGTTATGAATCCGACCATCCCGTCAACATTGATATAACAGCTAATAGAACAGTGCGTCATGTGTCTAAGAGTGATATAAGAAGAGTGGAAAGTAAAATTTGCAACATTATGTGATAACCTTATTAACTAGATAATTTTTATACGCCTATATGAAATGTGGTGGATATATTGACATCATCCGTGTCAGTCAAAAATGATATCGTGAGGCTCTTGCAGAATGTCAAGGGAACATATTGGTACTTCTATGGAACTTCTGAATTGAAGAAACTAGAATAAATACACGATGACAAAACATAGAGATATTATTTATTATCACCCAATGATTAACCCTATTGAAATGAAAGATATGGAAAAAAATATGAGTTATTGCCCTTGATCTTGAAAATGCATTCAATTTTTAGCTTGTAATTACTGTAGAAGTCACAATTCTTGACAGATGTTTATGAAACTTGGTAAATTTGTTGTCTAATTAAAATTAGACCAAACTTTCGTTTTGTTTTTTATTAGCTTTTATTTTTAATTTTGCCTCTTCAATTTTTTACAGTTCAAGACAGGACTCTTGATCTTGAACATTCTTCATAAGGAAAAATTCTTGACAGATTTTGACAAAGCTTAGTTATAATCACCTAAGGATGAATCCCATTGAAAATCAAAAAAAATTATGAGTTATTGCCCTTGTTCTTGGGAACGTGTGTAAACACTCTAGAAGGCACAATTTGTGACAGATTCCAAGTTTGGTAATATTGATTAGTATCATGTAATAAAATTCAAAAGAAGTGTATGACTGAAGGTTGAATATTTCATACTTGATTCAAAATCAAAGCTGCCAGTGGGTGTACATTACCTTGCCTGGCAATTATATTTAATTTTATTACTTCTTACTTATGCTTTATTAATAATTAATAAACTTATTTATGTTTTTATTTATTTATTTTATGTTATTTAGTTATTGCATGGTGGATTTTATTATTTATTATTTTCATAGCCTTTATTGAAGCATTTAAACAGGGATATTTACCAAATCGATTTACCAAATTTACGACCACCATCATGAACTAATCGAAAAATATAAAATGTCGGTTTCAAATTAATATAACAGATGTAATCAGTTCCCTCCCTTCAACTGTTAAAATTGAATAATTTTATCAGTTACATCCCTTGAACTTTTGGAATTCATCAAACAAGTCACTTTTTTTCTGTTTGTTGTGTGTTGAGCAGCTATGACAGGTTTGGTGCCAGGCAGGTTATGCTTACTCTTCTAGACACCACTTTTCATTATGAAATACTTATTTTTGACTGATTTACTTCATCATGTGAAAAGTTCATCAGCTGCTACCTATGTTTCACCAAAATGTTGTTTAGAATTTCAGGTTTCATTTTACAGTTCAGATCATTAGTACCTGATATATTCATAATCTTCAAAGCATCATAGTTTCATACAACTGAAATCACTATAAATCATCTTAATGATTGGTTTTGATCATACCTCATTTTTATTTGGAATTTACACATTAGAATGTGGGCGTATAAAAAAGCCATGGGGTGAGATCTTGTGCCACACTCAGAGCTGTTCACAGTTCTAGGGATGTTTTTGAATCAAAATATATTTATCAACAATTATTTTGGTTTAGACCAAGCCAAACAATTTAAAATTCTATAACATTTCCTTCACTAAATTTAAAATATTTGGGACATTTTAAATGTTTACTGTAAATTCCATGCATTGTTTTCCCCTTAATTGTTTCCTTAGTTATTATAAACCTCTTTTGCACAAATCTGTGCCACATTTGCCCTAGAAACTCTGCATATTGGTTCACTTCCCTGGAATTACTTGAATATGACAAGATATGCCCAGTTGATTTTCTTTTCACAAGAGTTGCCTTGGTTACAAACACATTCAGATTAAATTCAGAAATCAATTTGCTTAAAATGTGAATTAATTGGGATATGTTTGTGTCAAGCATATTAGCACATTTATCTGAGTAATAACACATAGATATACTGTCAATCATGATTGTTCCAATTTCTGGAGCGTCATTCAAAATATTCACCAAATTACCGAGAGTCGATATTAATTGCTCACTACTACTACAGCGTGTTATAAACACATTTTTTAGAGACATTTGAACACATGATTTAATGTCGACATTTAGTAAATTTTCTGGGTTATTTCCCAATAGCTGCTCCAAATATTTAGTCAGATATTTGGCCAAGTTAACAATTTGGAATTTCAAGTCTGTATCTATGTAAATAACTTTGGCTCCGAATCCACCAATTTCAAATCCATCAAAATCTTGTGGTAAAATTATTTTGGTAACAAAATGAAGAAATAGTTGTGATTTTCCAACACCTTCATCTCCACAGAATTCAAAGACATCACCACTTTTAGGTCCATTATCAAATAATCCTTCTTCTAACCCTTGTAAAGATGGTCGATCTCTCAACCTGGCTAAAAGCTGAAAATTAATTTAACATTGTCATTATAAAGATAGCTTGCCAGGCAAAGTAATATACGCCCACTGGCAGTTTTGATTATTAAAATATTTAGTAGTGCAGTAACAATCACCAATATGAAATATTCAACCTTCAGACATACACTTCTTTTGAACTCTTTAGGGCGATACTGAATAATATTACCAAGTTTCGTCAAAATCTGTCAAGGGTAAAAATGCGGTTTTAAGATCAATGGCAATAACTCAAACTAAATATAGGTTTCATCTTTGGTTGAAAACAAACACTTCCACCAAGTGGACTGATTTCAGCTTCAATTGAAAATTTGTTCGATTTTTGCGGGTAGGGGCACCAGATGTGATCGGGGTGCGATGCAGCAATATGGGCAAGGAACCACGACTTTAGCGATTGATTTGGCATAGTACGGGTCGGGTGTACGTCTGCTCGGTCTGAAAATTGCTGTGAGTTATCAAGACAAGTGACTTTCTGATTGCCAAGTTTCGTGTTTAAAATGGGAGCGCTCGGAGTGCGATACATCTTTAGGGTTATTGAGCCATCACTTTAGCGCTTGATAGTACGGAGACGTCTGATGGGTGTCAAATTGACATTGTCAATTTTCAGATCAATGTGTTGTTTCGTGTCAAACGACCTTAAAGAGCTATGTAATTTAAAAGCATGAACGAAAATGACTGCATCTACAGTCTTTACACCGCTTTGGAAAATTGACGAATTTGGTCGAAACGTCTAGAGATTGGATGATTTAGCAAAGCAAATACGACTAAACAAAAGAGTTAAGCCCCCTTGCCGTTTCATTGGAAAAAATTTTCCTTAAGTTCGACACTTTGAAAATTAAATTTTAGATGGAAGGAAGCGCTGGAATTGTCTGCAATTTGCAGTAAATATCTAGGACACAAATAAGTACCTCTCTGCAACGTTTCACATCGATAGCACAACGGCGGGGGGAGGGAGCGCAATAAACTATAAGTTCAAGCAGACCGTGTGTGTGAATAATATTAAAAGTTTGTGTTGACCTGAGTACCGGTTTCAGACTTAGACATTTTGTCTAATGACTAGTGTGTTTGCTGAACCAGAGAAAAACTGGATAAATTCTAAATCGTAGCTGGTATAAGAGTATCTACCCTCTCTGGTATATAAACCTAGCTTGTCAATGTAATAGCCTCACAGATCATAATATGGTCGGGTGTAGGTCAATTCGGAGCAAAGACAACTCAGACCAAATTTTTAAGTCAATTTGGACTACTTTTTTTGAAACTTGGCCCAATGTCACAGACAAATCGGACCAACTTTCTAAGACAACCATCTTATAATTTATCAACAAAATTCTCTCACCATACTTTAAAAGACTCGTACCACTTGTTTTTTTTCCATCATACTCTGATATTGTAGACAACAATTTTCGCATAATCTTTAAAAGACAAGATTTTGTAAACACTATTTCAAGTGTCTTTTACAAATGGTTATTTACTTTCATGTCAAACAAAAATTTTACATGTAGGTCCTACATCATCAAACATCATATAGGCCTAGTACATGGTAATAGCACGAACGTACTGCACAGCCATTTTGAATTCATGCCTCGACACGATAGCCTAAGTCTAATTTCTTAAAAAGGCCATTTCTAAACCTTTAATTATAATTTAAAGGATTTGCTGAAATATTAGGCTTTGTTTTTTTTATTAAAATACTACTTATTAAGAAAATAATTAGCCGTACAGTTTATAGCTATACTTTTGGTCTTCAAATAAATTTGAATAAATCACACCAGAGTTGTCTGAATAAGGGTCAACTTCTAGACCCTACCCCCAATTTTATAAATAAACTATTCTCCAGTCCCTACCCCCTGATGGTACAGTGGGATTTGTTCTGAGATTTCCATTAAAAAATTCAGAAATTTGTCTCTCTTTCCCCTTGACCATCTCCCCATTCTCTATTTAGAATCCACAAACCATGTAATGGTGAAAATACAACACACAACAATAACATAATTTTATTATATTTAGTAATAACAAGATAACACAAAACACAAATTAGACTAATACAGTTATAGAAATATCATATCTTCTAAAAATATTAGGTTTGGAAATGTTAAAGAGACAAATCCGCCATTGTTTTTAACAATCGTACCTCGTAAGTCTCAGAAATTTTGTTAAGCTAAGACAATCAGTAATATGTTCACACGTAGGCTACCGTCGAAATATGAGCCTTCAAATCATTATTCGCGTTTGGAAGTTTAAAAAACGAGTCCTCTTTTTTATTGACACTGAAATATATGATATGTTTAGTCTACATTGTAATCTAAGCAGTTTTCTACAAATATTCGGTTCCAAAGGTAGTATTTTATCAAATGAAAGTGTGTCATGTAGAAGCTGTTTGTTGATAAAATAAGGAATTATTGTGGCCTAGCGAAACCGAAACAGGCTGTCATATTGCTTTAATTTAGATTACCAGGGGTTGGCAAGAGCCTATACATCTCTGCAAACAAACAACAGATTGGTACAAAGCTGAGCATAAAGAGCAAAACGAGTCACAAGCAGCAACAACATGGCTAATTATACTAGTATTGTCATCAGCTAAACCATATTTACATCTAATTTTATGTCCAGTATCCCGGTAAACCAATAGTTCTGTTACTGAACACAACATTCAGCATTCTCTCCTGGGTTGCCTGGAAAAAAATATAAAAACGAGTTAGATATATCACCGAAATCACGGGGCCATTGGGCACAACTTTGGTAAATATTTAGGTTTATTGTCCCATCCGAACGACTAGACGCTTTTTCCATGTCAGCCCCTTGTACCTGCATCACTGACAGGGGGAAACCGGGTTGAAAAGGTAGGTATTATCTCGACCTATGCCAGGATTGAACCCTGGACCTTCAGGTTAGCGAGCAAGCGTCTAACTCACTGAGCCACCGCGGCTCCCCTCCATGATACAAGAAAAAGGTGACTAATGCAGTGAAGGTATAAACAAGTACCAACTTCGTATTAGCTTGACATTGTGATATTGTATAAGACGAAGTTCGTATTAGCTTGACATTGTGAATATGTGTAAGACGAAGTTCGTAATAGCTTGATAGTGTGAATATGTATAAGACGAAGTTTGTAATAGCTTGACATTGTGAATATGTATTAGACGAAGTTCGTAATAGCTTGATAGTGTGAATATGTATAAGACAAAGTTTGTAATAGCTTGACATTGTGAATATGTATTAGACGAAGTTCGTAATAGCTTGACATTGTGAATATGTATTAGACGAAGTTCGTAATAGCTTGATAGTGTGAATATGTATAAGACAAAGTTTGTAATAGCTTGATATCGTGAAGATGGAAAGGGGAAACTACTCATGATAAAGAAACCTTACCACCAGTAGCGAGTTTCCGGAATATGAGCTGTTCACAAACTGGGCATCTATTAGCTTTGAGGGCACAATCTCGACATAGACACTTGTGACCACACGGTACAAGGGTAATACAGGCTGGATTTCCTAAACATCGTCTACATGGTAACCCTGCAAAATTAGGAACAGTTCTTGTCGTTCCACTGTCGGAAGATCCAGTTGACTTTCCTCCTTGTCTTAAAAAAAAGATTTTTCCTCAGGATTAACATTACTAGAGGGTCGACTTCTTTATGCGACAATTTCACCAATGGCGTTGTCATGTTGGAAGGGGGTGCTGGATCGGCTTTGGCCCCACTTTCAAATTTGTTATCATTTTACATAGTGAAAGAATGGCCTGTGGCCCCCTTGGACACTTTTGAGGCCCCTACTCGACCGTTTTCTAGACACACCACTGGTCATCCAGAAGTCAACGAATTTCAGATGGCCTGAATGAATTTTGAGCATGTATAGATGATGGCCCACTGTTATCGTCTTACCTTTGTTTTATAAACTCCGCCAAACTCCGTTTCATGTTTTCATCTGCACAACACTCTAAAGGCTTTTTGTCGTTCACATTCTTCAGATCTGTCTTAGAGCCATTTTCTATCAAACACTTCGCTACTTTGATTTTCTTCTCGATATCAGAGCCTACTGATAGACCCATCATAGCAGCAAACTGAAATATTCAAAATGAGGTAACATTATGACTTAACATTATAATGTTTTTAATAAAAAAAAATTAAAGGAATTGCAAAGAGGTTTTTTAAAAATTGTTTGTGTATCGGGAACTGTAACGACTTCAGATCAAGCCGTATTCTTTATTTTATCCGTAATTTTAACTCCCATATTTACCTCCACTTATTAAGACTCTCTTGAAATCTTCAGCCAATCTTTAGTTTTTTGGCGTTACTATACTTATGTACCTCTTTATGATCTCAATTTTTTATCCACTAAAATACGACAGGATGATGTTTTAGACCCTATTCTGAGTATTCTCACCAAATTTCAGCGCAATACTAACAGAGCGACTCGTTCAGACAAAATCACTAAACACTACTCTACGTTACAACAGAGCGAGTCGTTCATAAGACAAACCACAAAACAATACGTAACATTCCAACAGAGAGACTTGTTCAGACAAAACCACAAAACACTACGTAACGTTACAACAGAGCGACTCGTTCATTAGACAAAACCACAAAACACTACGTAACGTTCCAACAGAGTGACTCGTTCAGTAAACACAACTATAAAAGGCGATTTCCACAGCTATAGGTGGGTCAAAATGACCATTGATTGTTAAAATTTCAAACTTACAATTGGTTAAATACTTACTTGTTGTTGTTGAGAGCCACTATGAGGGCTTGCCTCATTACAACAGGTGTGCAGAGGGCTATTTCTCTTTCTGTCAACAGCATTGATATCGGCTTCTGTAGCAGATGATAGAAAATAATATGAAAGTATTTATTTTCAGCAACATGACAATGTGGACCATTTTTTTATGAAGATCCAATGCAATGAGTATTGTAACAGATATACCCAACCTTCCAGAATATCTGATGCCACACTGTCGGTTGGTATGTGTATCACGTGGTGCACAAACATTTCACTGTTGTAAAAAAAGGCTTGTCTTTCTGTTTGTTCTATTTTCTATTTTTAGAATATTAAGGCATCGAGACACGAAAGCATTGTTTGTTTAGCATCTTATTATGGCTCATTCGATATTCTATATTCTTCAGATAGATACTTACTTTTTTCAATAAAAAGCTGTACACATTCCAAACAACCCTCTCTAGCAGCTAACATAAGTGGCGTGATGCAATCCAGGTCTTTGCTGTTTACATCTGCGTTTCCCTAGAAATTAGAAATGAAAGTATCACACTATTGACCCAAAGCCTAGAAAATAGAAATGAAGGTACCACAATATTGACTCCAAAGCCTAGAAATTAGAAATGAAGGTACCACAATATTGACCCAAAGCCTAGAAAATAGAAATGAAGGTACCACAATATAAAACCAAAGGAGAAGGGGTGGAAGAAAGTCATTTTTGGTGGAATATTTTGTATCAAACACATAACTAAGATTTTAATGATTATACCTTTTCAATCAGAAGTTTAGCACAGTCTGTATGGTTGTTTACTGCAGCTATATGTAGAGCTGTGAATCCTTGCGGCATTTTAGCGTTTACCAGCGACTTATGCCCATCTAATATTTTATCCACAGCACTTTGATAGAAAACAGAAAAAACAGAAAAAGCAATAAAAAACATTTGACACTTTTAACAATTAAATGAAAAGGGAAAATCAAAAACAAAAAGGGGGGTCGAGCGGTCGGGGTCAGAACCTTCCAAAACTGGTAATATACGCCCACTGGTAACTTTTTGAATAAAAATATTTGGCAGTATAGTAACAATCACCAGTATGAAATATTCAACCTTCAGTCATACACTTCTTTTGAACTTTTTGGGAAATACTGAATAACATTACATTACATTGGTTTTGTCAAAATCCAGCCAGAATCGTGCCTTTCAGAGTTCTTAATTTTTTGATCTTTAATAGAGTTCATCCATGTGTGATAATAAACAATTTCACCACATTTCGTCAAAATCTGTAAATAATTGTGTTTTCTAGAGTGTTTACAGGCTAAAAATTGAATGCGTTTTCAAGTTCAAGGGCAATAACACATACTTAATATTTTTGTTTTCTGATTTTTAATAGGTTATATCATTGGATGGTTTCAAACACTCTCATCAAATTTCGTCAAAATCAGTCAATAATTTTGCCTTCTAGAGCGTTTACGCGCTAAACATTGAACGCGTTCCCAATTTACGGTGGGTTCGTTTTGCCGCATTGCCCAACTTGCCGCATCGTGCCCAACTGCACAAAAACAACTTGTAAAACGAAACTATAGGTTTCTGATAAAATCCGGAATGACCATTTGTTTCACATGAAACGAAATATTTTAATCTGTTGCCCCGCATCGATTTTATTTATAATTTGGACCTGTTAGGGAAATCGAAAGTATAGTTTTATGGTAAAATCTGGAATAAAATAAATACCAAGTACAAACGATCAGAACCGTAATATAAAATACATAAATATTCATAAAACGAAACAAGATAAGTTCAATAAATAAAACTGTTCCACCCTAGGCCTGAACATTTGGGAGAATCAAACCCTCCCTTCCCCGAAATCAAATTATATATTTTTCGATTTTGCTGATTTTCAATAGGGTTCATCCTTGGGTGATTTGTCAAAATCTGTCAAAAATTGTGCCTTCGAGAGTGTTTTACGAGCTAATAATCGAAAGGGCAATAACTCATATTAAATACTTTTTTAATACGATTCATCCTAAAATTACTGCGAGTTAACAAGACAAATATGTCTGTCAGATTGTCACATTTGGTGTCGTTATCGCGATCGGAAGTGTAGAGCCATGATTTTAGCTATTGATTTAGCATAGTACAACAATATCTGCACAGTATGATAGAGCCACGACTTTAACGATTGGATAGTACGGAAGGCATCCTTGGGTGATAACAAAAACAAACACAAAGTTTTCGTCAAAATCCGTCAATAAGTGTTTACGAGCAATTGTGGACGTAGGGGACGGACTGACGCCAAAATACGCCCCCATTTCATGTGGGCATTTAAAAAGAAATACAAAGTAACATAAAGAAATACAAATTAGATCAAAATATTTTGTACAAATCTAGAAAACTTACATTGCTTGGCCTCTTAAAGAGGCGAAATGTAAGGCATTGAAAGCCTTTATATTGACAATTTCAGGGTTGGTTTCTTTACACAGAACAGCTATGGCGTCTTTACTTCCCGTTGCTATAGCATAATGGAGTGCAGTATCACCATTAGGATCCTACAGAAGAGAAATGTGGGTAGAGATTCGAGAACATGTCACCTGTGTTCGATTTGAATTTCGTTTTTATTGTTGATGGCTCTTGATAGTATTATTTCTTAGACGACAACAATGGTGATGCTGTTGCAGCAGATTATAGACTCTTCTACGTCATTAATGACGGATGGCGCCATTTTGGACGTCACGTGATCGCCGCCATTAAGGTACTGAAGAACGCCAAACGTCAATGAATGTCAACAAAGAAAATCTGAATATGGCATACAACTTTATGCATACAACTATGTATAGAATGGTTGGCTGAAGGATATATTTCATCTGACAATTTCATTTTTATAAAGGCAGCAGTATCGCCATCACAACCTGGAGTTGGAAGTGTAGATTACAATGCCTGGGTAGCAGCTCTGCCTACTGCTGAAGTACAAACCGCATCATGTACATGCCCAGCTGGCTTAGGGAGATCCTGTAGTCATGTTTCTGCTATTATGTATGCAGTGTCTCTTGCATGGCTTCATGGAATGGCCGGTGTGACTTGTACAGATACAACTGTTGGGGAAAAGGATCCAATATGAAACCAGATGAAGTTGAAAATATTAATTTCTCCAGACCAAAAGTGAACAATGTCCCTATGTCAAGTTCTGTTTCTCCTTCAAATACTGAGAAGTCACCTGTGGGTTTGTTAGATCATACTGACCTTGTCAATTTTGTTTTAAAGTGTACTGTATCATCTTTGTAGAAGTGTGAGGGGACAATGTTAAATAAAATTTTAAATTCTAAAGAGATTCCTGTAACAAGTTTACATTCTGTTACTCATACAACAGATCATTGTAATTATGATGAATTTTGTGTTGTATGTAATAACTTTTACACTAAATATGTTTGTTTATATCCATCAAGTTGCAAGCAGTTGACAGAAAAAACTTCAAAACAGAACACAGGTTTGATTGCAGAAAGTTACGAATTCCATCCAGTAAGTTTTCTTCAGTGCCGAAGAGTGACCGTGCAGATCCAGAAAAAATTATAACAAATCACCTGTATCCACGTTTTAAAGGGTCTTCTGCAACTAGGCATGGAATTGTCTCTGAGTCAAGAGCATGCATAGATTTGATGGAGCATCTCGGATGCAAGATATATATATCAGGAACTGTTTTTAGTATAGAAAATCCTTTTTTGTCAGCTAGCCCAGATAGATTTATTGATGACCAGACTATTGTAGAAATCAAGTGTCCTACAAAACAGGCATCCTTTTCATTGTATCAGGAAAATATGACGTTATTGAAAAAAATGGTCAATATAGATTAAATGCAAAAGGGAAGAATAGTTATTATTCTCAAGTGCAGATAGCTATGTATTGCACTCAAACTAAATTATGCAAATTTTATCTATGGCATTCTGCAGAGAAAATTCTCTTTGATGAGAAATTTGTTAATGACAATATACCTCGCATCAAATTTCTATTTCTAACATTTGTTGGTTCGTATTGTTGATGAGTTTGCTGCAAAGCATCTAAAATTGAGTGAAGAATATAGAAAATTGTGTAATTAATTGTTTTATTTCATATGCAATTATCACCACTTAATTGAGAAATACTTAAGTACAGTCCAGAAATTTCATTCAAGTAAAATTTTGTTAGTACATTGCATTAATCAAAAACAAAATGAAACACTATAAAAGTCAATTTTAATGAAAATGGTTTTTGGATCGTTTGATCATAAATTTAAATTGTTCATCAAAGTGCACATTCCTGATCATAACTAGCTATATACAGAGAAAAATGTTGCTGTGCATGTATTATGCTATAAATTACACCTAAATAATAATGTTGACTCCCTGAGAAAAGTAAGCATGTCCTTTTTTTATGATTAAGCAAAAGAATAAAACTGAACATAATTAACAATGTTGCTGAGTTGATAAACCCTATTACATGTAATCAATGAAATAATTCTGAATATATAAGCTTACTGTTTTTTTCTAAGCTAGAGAGTTGAGAGTTACAAGTTTATGTTCATTCTTAGAGGAAGTATTCCTTTGACTGGTACAAACAAAGTATTATATATTATATTATGATGTATACATACATTGTTGAAATATTGTTTATATAATTAATTAATAATATTATTAATCAATGTGTTCTTCCTTAATAAGTTCACCATGAAGATTGCAAAGTGCAGCACATACAGTAAGAATACGATTAATATATTTCATGGATTGCACAGTTATAGTTGTATTAAGAATTCTGTGAGTCTTTATTCTAGCAATAGCTCTCTCCACATGAATGCGAACAGACGCTATTCTTCTCGAGTTAATGGTTTCCTTCTCTGTAAGCTGTTTGCGGCCCTTCATGAAATCAGGAATATTAAGTTTTACGCGTCGAGCAAACAATTCATCACCTATCGTGAAACCACGATCAGCCATAACTTCATCACATGGTAACAACTTGCTGAGAAATTTCGATGATTTGGTATTGAAATTATCACTTGCCCTTCCACCATAAGCTCGAGAAATGTCCATAATGTATCCATTAGGAGCAATGGCTATGAGAAATTTAATTGTATTATGGCTTTTATAGGTGCTCCATGTCATCTAGCTTTCAAAGAAAATGGTCGCTGTATGAAAATTTCAAAACAATCAATGATGCAGATAGTTTTTGGATAAGTTTCAAAAAAAGATTTAGCCATTATCCTTTTTATAGTATCTCTGGGAAGCCATAAAACACAATTTCTCATATTCTCTGCCATAATGGTGATCCATTCTAAATAAATTTGATTGGCCAACTGGTATGAAATATTAAATCTGCGAGCAATATCCTTGTAGGCTACACCCAATCTTAAACGAACAAGAGTTAAACAAAATCTGGTCAAAAACAGGTAAGCTAAATGATAATTTCTCCCCAAATGATGATAATGAAGAGATGATGGACAATAATACTGTAAGTGTAAGACCAGTATAAAATTTGGAGTCACTGTCTGTTTTCAAAATACTACTAGAAAATTCGGCAGTTGTGTGCTGAGTGGAAACAGCTTTATATGTGGGTTTTAAAATAGAATAACTATGTTCGGTCTGAGTAGACATTTCACTGGTATTCACCAGTCTTGAACAAAAATCACTTGGACTGTGACAAATAATACCATCTGTTTGTACAGAAGTAGTAATACTGTTAAAAGATGGTAAAACTTCCAATGAACAATCAATCTCTTCAGTACAGATATCAACATCTTCCTCTTGATAGTTCTGGGCGACATTGGACAAAGGTACACGTCGTCCTGGTTTAACTTCTCTTTCATATCCAAGATGAATTGAAGGGTAATGGTTAAGTTTTGTAGGCCTTCCATCAATAAAATGAATTGAACAAACCTGAAAACATAGAAAGAAAATAATTACTTAAGGTAGCCAAAGAAGAAGTTATCTAAAACAGATTAAAACATTTGATTGTTGGAACATACAAAAATGTTAAATCTAAGCCCAGCTATTCCCTTCAGCGCTTGTATGGAACACTTGTCTTTTTATGGCAGTGGAATATTTCAGTAAGTAGTGTCAGTGAGTTAAATTGTTGTCTGCCAGGCCGTTAGGTGTCGGTGGTTCAAATCCTCACGGTAAAAATATTCAGATGCCTCTGCCATTGCTTCCTGGAGTCAGCTTTCTAAAGTCAGTGATCTAAATATGAGTTTTGATAATTTACTTACCAATTCCTTTCCCCTAGGATCAAAATCTTTCCGATTTATTGCTTTCAACCATGCTCTCCTTCTGTCTTCATTCTTCGGGATGCAGACATTCTTCGTGTGGTAGATCTGCATGGTCCTTGCACACAGCCTTATTCCATAAATGCAACTTCTTTTTCTCAATAGTATCTGTCAAAAGGTTGGACCTGGCGTCATGCGAGTAAAGTTGTCAACGTAAACAATAATATTTCCCGATCTTCAGTACCTCAATGGCGGCAAACTGAAAGCGACACCTAACGGCAGGGGCGGATAACCGAATAGTACATCTGTACTTCTTCTTCTTCTTGTTGGTGGATGGTGTCCGCTTTGGAGAAATTCCATATCGCAGACGTTGAGTAGGGAACGGGTTGCTCCCATGGTTTCTTCTTGATCTTCTTCTGTAGTCTTAATACTGCGTTCTTCTTCTGTGTTTCTTCTTGGCGATCTATAGAGAACTAAGTCCCCAATGATCGCCACACCTACAGAGGAGCGGGGCGCTCTTCTGATGTGCTACTTTATGTGATCATTCGTGACTCACTAAGAAAATTATAGACTGTTTCACAGATTGTTGACATACCCTCCCCCGTATGGGACAGAATATTCTTCAAGGTGTACTCCAGTCTATATCTTTTCATTATCTCGACCAGCGATTTTCTTAATTCCCTTAGTTGCTCACAATGGATTAACAGATGTTCTGCGGTGCCAGCTTCACCACAGGGACATAGCTTTAGTTCGTATTTGTGATTTCGTACCTCACCCATCATTCTCAGACGGGCGACCGTTCGACAGATCTGTCGATTGGGGTGGTGTAAAAACACTTTACTGCTAATGCTATCGTTTAATCGGAAGCGGAATGCATTAGCATCTATGAGAGTTGCCTCCCATGTCGATTTGATGCTTTTTGTGATCATGCTTCTTATTTCCGATAAACTGTAGTCTATCCGGTCAATCTCCGATAGTCCTAGTCCTATTCTTGCGAGTTCATCTGCAATTTCGTTCCCTTGTATGCCGACATGAGACGGGATCCATGCCAACTCGATTGATTTGCCTTGACTATGTACAAGTGAGCACGCTTGCCTGATTTCATCCACAAGCTCCGCTGGGAATAGAGGATCGTGAGA